TGCCCTGCAGCGCATGCTCTGCTCTGCTAGAACTGCCTGCAGGTGCTTACAAGCCCTACCAATCAGGCAAACCGAATCCAAGCCTTCTCATTGCCGTATTGTGGGGAGACTTATTGGTGTTGATAACGTGCCTGTCTTTGGTGACCTGCAGCCGCCCACAGGTGCTTATCGTCTTACTAATCAGGCAGACTGAATCCAAGCTCTCTCATTGCCATGTTGTGGGGAGGCCTTATTTTTCTCTATTTCTCTACCTCCGGGCATTCCTATTTCTCCTATTTTACTTCTATCTGCCAGCATTCCTATTTTTCTCATTTTACTTCTATACTTCTATTTCTCTTATCCCTGCGGCTTCCCGGCGCCTACCCCGAGGCTGCTTCTCGGCGCCTTGCCCCGTGGCGGCTTCCCGGCTTCGCGCGCTCCGTGGTCTCTGTGCCCTTCGCACCCGCACCATGGCCTCGCGCTAGCCCCACGTTTCCTATTCACGCCCTGTGCGCTCTCCCCGTTTGTGCCCCACGCGCTCTCTCTGTGCGCGGCGGCTTCCGCGAGTCACACAGCCTAGCTCACGTTTCCGCTACCGGTATTCAGTCTAAGTTCCCCGGGCTAACCTGGCGAATTCAACCTAGCCTACGTTTCCACCTTACTGTTTGGCTTCCTGTCTTTTGCTCCCCGGGCTAATCTGACGGATTCCAACCTGGCCCACGTCTCCGCCTCTGGTTCCAGATTTTCGCCCCTTGTTCCCCGGGCTGACTCGACGAATCCCAACATAGCTTACGTCTCCGCCTCAGCCTGCCCCCGCAGCTTCATCCTCCCTAACATTTTTCTCTACCCGGTATGTTTCCTAACTTTTCTTCCAACAATATTCCCCTCTCATTTCTCCTGGCTTCTCCCCACAGTCCGTATCCGAGTCTAAGTTTCTTCTAGGTTTCACTTTTGCTTTCAATCTCCTAGCTTCCCTACCATAGTCCGCATCCGAGTCTATGCCTAGGCTTTCAATAGCTTCTTCCAGCACCTTTTCCGTCCGACTTTTCCCTAGGCTCTTTGCTAGTCTCTCTCTCCGGTATTTTCCCACTTCTTCCCGTTTCTTCCCTCCTAGGTTTTCTATCCGAGTCACGGCACCATTATGTCGCTCCCCCTCTTCATGGGGGAACGACACTAAACCCTGCCTAGGCTTCCTATCTGAGTCATGGCACCATTATGTCACTCCCCCTCTTCGCGGAGGAACGACACAGGACCCTGCGCTGTTCTTTTGTCTGCTCGGCCCTCCCCGGGTTTGCTGCTGGTTCTTCCAGGGTTGGCTACCGTCCCCTCCACCTCCGTGGAAGGGCGGTTCCCCCTGCCACTTTCCCCACTTCCGCGGGGGAGCGGCACACCGCCAGCCGGCTCTCTCGGGGGCTGCACAGGTGTTCCTTCAGATAGATGTTCCTGGTGCATGTTATCTCTCTCCTCCTTTATAGTCCTCTTCTGCCAATCCCAACTCTGCTACCCACACGCCGAGTACGCTGCTCTCCTCCAATCAGGAGCAGGTCCTACAGTTTATTGGTTGAACTGGAGGCAGCTGTGTAGAAGCTGTTTCCTCCTCTCCCAGCGCCATATTGTGGGAGAGCAGATGCATAGAATAAGTCTTAATTCCAGTAACTTAGTCTAGTCCGAGTTGCTCCCCACATTGGGCTGTTGGTAAGAGTCAGGCCACAGTACCGAAAGGGTTCTGAGAGTTCAAGTGAGAGGAGTTTGCAGCCTTGTGTAGCTCAGGGGGCCCCGATAAGGCAAGAATGGAAGAAAAGGAAACCTACTCAAGGTCTGCTCGGCCACTGAGCTTTCTGCTAAGCACTGAAACAGACGTGATCTACAAACATTTCATCACAAACACAAGATTGACACATTTCCCAGACCCCTTACTTTTTTTTAACTACTATAATAGTTTTGTTTAGTATCAATACAAATACTGTTTTTGCTTTCAACAGAAAAGCTGCATACATACTAGTGTTTTAGGAGACATCACTGAATTTGGACATGTCAGGCCTTTCTGTACACTGGTACCATGGCTGACAAAGGACTTCTGGTGCTAAGAGTGTTAGTTTGGCCCCTTGCTGGCTGTTTGCTACTATTTGCATTTTTCATTTTTTAAAAACAGTGAATAAACTCACACATTTAAAGTGTACAATTCAGGGGCTGGCCCTGTGGCGGAGCAGGTAAAGCTGCTGCCTGCAGTGCCAGCATCCCACATGGGCGCCGGTTCGAGTCTCTGCTGCTCCTCTTCTGATCCAGCTCTCTGCTATGGCTTGGGAAGCAGTAGAAGATGGCCCAAGTCCTTGGCCCCTGCATTTGTGTGGGAGACCCGGAAGAAGCTCCTGGCTCCTGGCTTTGGCCTGGTCTAGCCTGGCCCTTGCTGTCATCTGGGGAGTGAACCAGCAAATGGAAGATCAATCTCTCTCTCTCTCTCTCTCTGTCTCTGTCTCTCCCTCTCTGTAATTCTTTCAAATGAATAAATAAATAAACCTTTAAAAAATAGAGTGTACACTTCAGTGGTTATTGGTATATTATGATGGCCTTTAGAAGTTGTGGTAAAATATACATATCGCAAGATCACCTATCTCAACCATTGAGTGTAGGACTGGGTGGCATTAATTACACTCATGAAGTTGTGCCTCTATTACCCCTGTTTCTAGAACATTCCAGAGACGCTGGACCTGTCACATCCACTTCCCGTTCCCCTCTCTCTCTGCAGCCCCTGGCAAGCTCTAAACTATTTTCTGTTTCTGTGAATTTGCCTATTCTAGAGATTTCTCCTAAGTGGGCTAACACGGCCTTTGTCCTTCACTGTCAAGTGCATTTCACTTAGGAGTTTTCCAGGCTTGCTCACGTGTAGCAGGTATCTGAGCTTCCGCTCCTTTCGTGTGTGGCGCGTGTGTTTGTGGTGTGTGTGTGGTGCGTGTGTATGTGTGCTCTGTGTGTATGTATGGTGTGTGTGTGTGTGCTGTGTGTGTGTGTATGTGTTTGTGGTGTGTGTGTGTGCGTGTGTGTGTGTGGCACATTTGTTTATCTGTTCATCTGTCGATGGATATCTAGGTTGTCGTGGATAACGCTGCAATAAACATTGGCATCCAGCGTCTGAGCCCCACCTTTCAGTTCTTTTGGCTCCATAGCTGTGTAATTCTGTTGAGCTTTCTGAAAAACCGCCAGGGCATTTGCATCATTTTACATTTCCACTGATTCACCACGTTCCTGCCAACTCTTATTTCCTATTTTGTCTTTTGCTTCAGTGATAACCTTCCTGGTTGTAAGGTACGTTTTCCATTGCTGTAACAAAATCTGCGAGGCTGGCTACTGTGCACGGAAAGAGGTCTATTCAGCTCACAGTTTTCAGGTCTGGAAGTCAGAGAGTAGGCGGCTCTGTTGGCTCAGCCTCTGCTGATGTTCTCGTGGTGGGAGCATGCATGGTGAGACCGGAAGCCAGGGAGCTCCAGGAACCAGGCGGGCTCGCTCTCAGGGGCAAACGGGGGTGTCTTGTGCATCCCTCCAAGGGCAGCACTCCTGCTGACCTAATCACCCTTTAAAGGGTGCTGCACTGAGACCAAACTGCCAGCAGGAACATCTGGGGGACAAACCATACAACACTGGGGGCCGGCGCTGCGGAATAGTGAGTAAAGCTGCTGCCTGCAGTGCCAGCATCCCATTTGGGCGCCGGTTCGAGTCCCAGCTGCTCCACTTCTGATCCAGCTCTCTGCTGTGGCCTGGAAAGCAGTAGAAGATGGCCCAAGTCCTTGGGCCCCTGCATTTGCGTGGGAGACCCGGAAGCTCCTGGCTCCCAGCTTCGGATCAGCACAGTTCCAGCCATGGCGGCCATCTGGGGAGTGAACTAGCGGATGGAAGACCTCTCTCTCTGTTTTTCTGCCTCTGGCTCTCTGCAACTCTGCCTTTCAAATAAATCAATAAATCTTAAAAACAAAAGCAGAAACAAAAGCAAAACCACAACTGGAAGAAGTAGAGTGGCATCTCAGCATTTCATTCTGGGTAATTTTTGTAAAAATTCAGGTGAAATTTGTGTAACGTACAACTAATGATTTTAAAGTGTACAACTCCTTGGCACTTAGTGCACAGTGTTGTGCAAACACCACTTTTTCTTAGTTTCAACACGTTCACATCACCCAAGAACAGCACTGTTAGGAACCACTCCTCTGTCCCCTCCCTGCCACCCCTGGCAACCACTACCCTGTCTTCTGTCCCTATGGATTTGCTTATTTGGAATATCACCTTTTTGGGTTAATCTAATGTTTCTGAGGTTCATCCAAGTTGCAGTGTTTCATTCCTTTTCAATGGCTGGATAAGAGTCATTGTCTATATCCCCACAATGTGCTTCTTCACCCTTCTATTAATGCACATTCAGGTTGTTTACAGATTTTGGTTACTATGAATGCTGCTGCTGCAATTTTTTATGCATAGACTTGTTTTCAACTCTCCTGGATTTACACCTACTGGAGGAACTGCTGGGTTATATGCTAATTCTAGGTTTAACTTTTCCAGTGGCTGCATTTTATATCTACCCAATTCCTATTTTTTCTATATTCTCACTGACACTTGTTTTCTGCTTAAAAAATTATAGCCAGTTTAGTGGGTGTGAAGTGGTATTTCATCGTGGTTTGATTTTCATTTTCCTTGTGATTAGTGATGTTAAACATCTCTTCATGTGCTTGTGGGCCATTTGCATATCTTCTTTGGAAAAATGTCTACTTAAGTCCTTTGCCCACTTAAAAACTGGATTGCCTTCTTGTTTTTGAGTTGTAAGAATTTTTTATATATTATGAACATAAAATATATTATTTATAATAATATAAACCTTTATTGGATATGTGATTTGCAAATACTCCATTCTGCATCAAGATTACCATGTGTTTTTTTCCCTTTTGTTCTATTAATGTGGTGTTATCACATTGATTGACTTTCTTATGTTGAAATACTCTTGTATTTTTGTGATAAATCCCACTGGCTCTTATTGTGTACTCTTTTTTTTTTTTAATTTATTTATTTGAAAGGCAGAGTTACAGAGAGGCAGAGACAGAGGCAGAGGCAGAGAGATAGACATAGAGAGATAGAGATATAGATAGATAGAGATAGAGAAAAGTCTTCCACCTTCTGGTTTACCCCTCAAATGGCTGCTGTCGCTCCCCCTCTTCGTGGAGGAACGACACAGGACCCTGCGCTGTTCTTTGGTCTGCTCGGCCCTCCCCGGGTTTGCTGCTGGTTCTTCCCGGGTTGGCTACTGTCCCTTCCACCTCCGTGGAAGGGCAGTTCCCCCTGGCCACATTCCCCACTTCCGCAGGGGAGCGGCACACCGCCGGCCGGCTTTCTCGGGGGCTGCACAGGTGTTCCTTCAGCTAGATGTTCCCCTTAGATGTTCCCCGGTGCATGCCGTCTCTCTCCTCCTTTATAGTCCTCCTCTGCCAATCCCAACTCGGCTGCCCACACGCCGAGTACGCTGCTCTCCTCCAATCAGGAGCAAGTCCTACAGTTTATTGGTTGAACTGGAGGCAGCTGTGCAGAAGCTGTTTACTTCTCTCCCAGCGCCATATTGTGGGAGAGCAGATGCATAGAATAAGTCTTAATTCCAGTAACTCAGTCCAGTCCGGGCTGCTCCCCACAGGCTGCAATGGCTAGAGCTGGGCCAATCCGAAGCCAGGAGCCAGGAGCTTCCCTCAGGTCTCCCACACCGGTGCAGGGGCTCAAGGACTTGGGCCACCTTCCACTGCCTTCCCAGGCGCATTAGCAGGGAACCGGATCAGAACTGGAGCATTTGGGACTTGAACCAGTGCCCATATGGGATGCCAGCACTGTAGGAGCAGCCTTACCCGCTGCACCACAGCGCTGGCCCCTCCTAGTGTATACTCTTAATGAGCTGTTGGGAGTTGGTTTGCTAGTATGTTGTTGAGGATTTCTGCATTCATATTTATAAGGGATATTGGTCTGTAGTTTTTTTTTTCCTTTGAGGTATCTTTGCCTGAAACCTCTCTAATTTTAAATCCATAATTAAGATGAGGAATAAGCCAATTCTTCATTTCTAAACTGGCCACAGTAGTGGGAGACTAAGAATACTATCAAAAAATTTTAAACCTGAGACATAAAACCTATGACTCATTTTTAGTGACTTAAATTCAAGAGATTTCTCTGTTGTCTGCACCATAGAGATTTTTATTAAGATTTATTTATTTAAAAGTCAGAGAGTGAGAGAGAGCATGAGAGAGATCTTCTATCTGCTGGTTCACTCCCCCAAGTGGCCACAATGGCCAGGGCTCAGCCAGGCATAGCCAGGAGCTTCACCCAGATCTCTCACATGGGTGGCAAGGGGCCCAAGTACTTGGGCCATCTTCCAATGCTTTCCCCAGTCCATTAGCAGGGAGCTGGATCTGAAGTGGAGCAGCTGGGATCAAATAGGCTTTCATATATTGGCATTGCAGACTCTGGCTTCACCCACTAGGCTGGGCCCTAACTTAGAGAATACTGTATATTTGGTACTGAAAGTTATGCTTGGGGCTGGTATTGTGGGGCAGCAGGTTAAACCTCTGCCTGTGACACCAGCGTCCCACAACGGAACGCTGCTTCAAGTCCTGGCTGCCCTAGTTTTGATCCAGCTATCTGCTAATGCACCTGGGGAAGCAGCAGCAGACGGCTCAAGCCCTGCACCCATGTGGGAGACCCAGATGGAGTTTCAGGCCCCTGACTTTGGCCTGGCTCAGACCCAGCTGTTGTGGCCATTTGGGGAGTGAACCAGGGGATGGATGATCTCTCTCTCCACTCCCTAGCACTGTACCTTGCAAGTAAATAAAACAAATCTTAAAAAAAAATTATGCTTGCCTAGAGTTCTATGATGGCGAGTTAATAGGTAGAACAATAATTTGGGTTGAAAATCCCCAAGAGGCAAGATCGGGGTATTTAGAAGGGGTATTTAGAGAGGAGGGATGTAGGAACCTGGCAGGCATGAGCTTCCTTAATACAGCACAAACATTTTTCTTGACTTCATTTTGTTTCATTTCACCTTCCCACTAGAGAAAAAACTTTATTTTACATTATTTTCAGTTCTTCCAATAATGTATTTTTGTACATGACTGTCATTATTGTGTTCCTTAGGTATTTAGAAACCTGGCAGTAAGAGTGAAAACCCACTACCTAGTTATGTTTGCACTGATAGCTCAAAGGTATTTTAACACTAACCATGAATTCCTAATCTTCACTCAAAATACTGCTTCCCATCCAGTGGAGAGCGGGGGAAACAGGCGGTGAGGAACAGTCCCATCGGGTCAGCAGGGCTGGAGGGAGCTGGCAGCAACTCTGACTGCTCCTTCCTCCTGACTGTTCACCTTCCGTACAAATACAACCAAAGAAACCATTACTCCTCCCTGACGACGGGGAGACTGCGTCACCAGCGCCTGGTCTTGTGTGGTCTCGCTTACATGCTGCAATGCTCTCTGGGCGAGATCAGGCTTGGGTGAGAACTGGAACTGTACAAGTAGGTAGAAAAAGGAAAAATACAGACAGAGAGCTGAGAGCATCTTTAGTAGGAAGAAAAGCTGGTCATCTGGCATTCTTTCAGTTAGGTCTTTTATGGGGGGGGGGAGGCAGGTGTGCTAGAACAGTTTTGCATGCCCACTGGGATGGCAAATCAAATACGGAGGCTGAAGTACCCTCACTACCTGAACTTACTTTTCTACAAACCAGACAGCAGGGCTGGCTCATTCATTCAGTTTGTGTTTCTTAACATGGCTGGCTTCCATGAAAAGCGAGCTGTAAGTTACAGCCGTCTTAGGAGCCTGCTTGAAGGGAGACAGGGTTAAGGAGAGGTTATTTCCAGTTGTGAGAGCTCAGCCATCTCCCAAGGGCACTTTCCTAAGCTCTAAGAGGGGGAAGGATCTGCCAGTTTCACTTTTGTAGCATTTCCCCCACCCTCACCTGCTGCACCCCTTCTTGCGGTTTAGGAACTGTAGGGGGCGATAGAGACAAAGTTTCCAGGGACTCGATTCCTCCTCTGACCTTGTCATTCTAGGGGAGGTTGGTTCTGGCAGTGGAGGACTCCAGCTGACCTTTTGGCTATGGAAGTGTTAGGTAGGAAGTTAGATATGAGCTTATGTGTGTGTGACAGGCCTAAAGAGAAGACGTCTATGTCCAGCATATGCATCTGCATCTCAAAGTCATCCTGACAATGTTTCAGGGGCAGCCCTGTATTTGCATCTTGCTCTGCCCCCTTCTACCTGATAACCTGCCAGGTGGAGGTCCCCGCCCCTTCTGCCTGACAATCTTCCACAATCTCCCAGATGCAGCCCAGTATTTGCATTTCAAATACCCTGTTCCAGATCCCCATTCTCTAGGGGGTCCTGCTCACCCTTCCTCTGAACCCAGGATGACACCAGCTAGGCTTCCTCCTGTCTGATACCTTCAAGGGAAAACTCAGATAGGAGCTTCTTAACATTTACAGCCATAAAATCCTTTGTTTCAGGAGGAAATGTGTGAAGAGGAGACCTATCTCCTTACCCACCCCCCCACCTAAATGTAGATCAGGCACTCTCTCTCAGGTCCTGTCTGGAGAGCTGCCCGTCCATTCTTGTGGATGTCCCTACTCTAATAAACTTTGCTACTTTTTACTTCCCACAACAACACCCCATGTTTTAGTCTGCTAACTGCAGCTTCCTTTGCTGCCACATACTTCTTCAAATGCACCACTACTGAAAATTCCCAACTTAGCGTACACCACCTCTCTGGGTGCCTCCCTCCCACAGGGGGGATATACTTTGTCTGTGGGACTCTTGCTTACCAATGCTTACCTTCTAACTGGACAGGGCTCTGTCCCCTGGCCTATGTCCTGTCTACTATATCTGTTGCTAATGCTTCAGCTTCCATACCGATTCCCTTACACACTACTTCTCGACTTTCCAAGAGGATTCCCCCCCTGATCCCCATCCTGGTAGGGGTCAGCAGGGTGGCTGGAGTGGCAGGAGTTGCTACAGGCACAACAGGTGCAGTATCAGCAAACAACATGTATACTAGCCTCTCCTCCGAACTGGCTGGTCTTAACACCCAAATAGCAGCATCTCTCTTCACTCTCCAAAATCAGATCAACTCTTTGGCTGCAGTTGTTCTCCAAAACAGATGAGCATTAGACATGCTAACTGTTGCTCAGGGAGGTGTCTGTGCCATGCTCCAGAAGAGTGTTGTTTCTGGGGCAATCAGACTGGACAGGTACAAACCCAAATTCGTACTTTCCTGGACAAAGCCAAGCACCTCCAGGAACAGGCCAAGCAGGGCTGGGATTTCTGGCCTGACATCTGGTCATGGAAATCTTGGCTATTTCCTCTCCTTGGCCCAATAACTTCCATAATCTTGCTGCTTCTCTTTGGACCGTGTGTTTTTAATGCCCTTGTTCGTTTTGTCTCTAACAGAATAAAAGCTGTCAAACTCCAAATGGTCGTCAGACAAGGCTTCCAGCCCATTCCATTGGACGACCTGAGCAGCCCTCTGGACTGAGCAGGACAGTCTTTCCAAAGCCACTGTTGCATACCATAAGACAGATAGCAAGAGGAGATACCCAAATCCTCTGTGACACCCACATGCCAGCTTTGATGAAGTTACAGAAAACGGAACTCCACCCATAATCCCAAAGAAGAATTTTGGGTATTTGCCTCTTGAGGGGGGAATGTTAGGTAGGAAGTTAGATATGAGCTTATGTGTGTGTAACAGGCCTAAAGAGAAGACTATGTCCAGCATATGCATCTGCATCTCAAAGTCATCCTGATAATGTTTCAGGGGCAGCTCAGTATTTGCATCTTGCCCTGCCCTCTTCTACCTGATAATCTGCCAGGTGGAGGTCCCCACCCCTTCTGCCTGACAAATCTTCCACAATCTCCCAGATGCAGCCCAGTATTTGCATTTCAAACACCCTGTTCCAGATCCTGATTCTCTAGGGGGTCCTGCTCACCCTTCCTCCTGTCTGATACCTTCAAGGGAAAACTCAGGAGGAGGAAATGTACCTTCAAGGGAAAACTCAGATAGGAACTTCTTAACATTTACATCCATAAAATCCTTTGTTTCAGGAGGAGATGTATGAAGACAAAGACCCATCTCCTTAAAAACCCCTGGCCTCAACCAGACTGTGCTCTCAGCCCTCTGCCTCTCTGCTGAGTCATCCGCCTGGCCTGGTCAGGTGTAATCTCTCTACTCAACCATGTAACCTCGCTCCCCCCCAACCCCGAGTCCGAGTGACTGGGCACTCTCAGGTCCTGTCTGGAGAGGTGCCCATCCGTTCTTACAGATGTCCCTACCCTAATAAACTTTGCTACTTTTTACTTTCCACTACTCTGTCTTACGCCTGAATTCTTTCTTGCACGAAGACAAGAACCCTGTCATTCTCCGGTAACAGAAGGAAATCTAGGTAGAGTGATACAGGCTATCCCTAAGTTACAAGGTTGGAACAGTAAACTGTTGATGTTCAATCAACTTCAAAAATGGCAATTTCACATGGTTCAGCCTAAACGTCTTATGGGGAAAGAAAAGCAAGAAAGGAAGCCCAAAGAATCTACTGCCTGGGGTTGGTGCTGTGGTGTAGCGGGCTAAGCCTCTGCCTGCAGTGCTGGCATCCCATAAGGGCGCCAGTTTGTGTCCTGGCTGCTCTGCTTCTGATTCAGCCCTCTGTTTGAGGCCTAAGAAAGCAGTGGAAGATCGCTCAAGTGTGTGCTTGGGCCCCTACACCCATGTGGGAGAGCCAGCCCAGCTCTTGCTATTGCAGCCACTTGGGGAGTGAACCAGAAGATGGAAGACCTCTCTCTGTAACTCTACCTCTGAAATAAATAAAAAATAAAAAAAGAGACACTTAAAGAATCTAGTGCCTACAGTAGCAAACAGAATGTTTTCCAGAATATTAATCTCCCAATTAATTTTTAGTCTTGTCTGAGGCTCTTCTGTGGGTTGAAATATGTTCCTTCCAAAAGGATAGGATGATGTCTTTATTTCCAGGACCTTGTAATGTGACCATATTTGGAAACAGGGTCTTTACAGAGGTAGCCGAGGTCATTCAGATAGACCGCACAATATGACTGGTGTTCTTCTAAGAAGGAGAACTCCAGACACAGAGGCAGATATGCACCAAGGAAAGACAAAGTCACACAGACTGTCACACAAGATGCAAGATTGCGGAGATATTATCTACAAACCAAAGCTTGCCTGTGGCTATCCTAGCTGGGAGAGAATGGAACAGATCCTCCTCCAGCACCTTCAGAGGGAGCACAGCCTTGTTAAGTCCTTGATTTTGATCTGGCTTCCAGAATTATGGAGTTGTTGTTGGTGTAAGCCATCCTGTGTAGGGTACTTTGTTACGGAGCACTTCCACTGATGAGAGACTATATAGGTGGGGAGATAGGACAGCACAGCCTATGTTAAGAATGGCGAATGACAGCTTTTTTTTTTTTTTTTTTTTAAAGATTTATCTGAAAGTCAGAGTTACACAGAGAGAAGGAGAGGCAGAGAGACAGAGGTCTTCCATCCGCTAGTTCACTCCCCAGTTAGCTGCAAAGGCCGGAGCTGTGCCAGAAACTAGAGCTTCTTCCGGGTCTCCCACATGGGGGCAGGGGCCCAAGGACTGGATTTGAACTGTTAGGTGGGAAGTCAGAAATTTACCCTATGTGTGTGTGAGACAGGCCTGAAGATCAGCACCTACTGCGGAAGCTCCAGAAGCCCAGCATTTTTGTACTTCAAAGTCCTGCCCAGACCCTGATAACCTCCCAGGTGGTCCCAGCCCTTCTCCAAGGAAAGCTCCCAGGAATTCTCTCTCCTCAGGACCAAAGAGGTTACCTGACCTGATAACATGGGGCAATAAAACCTTCATAGATGCCCTAATGGTAACCCTTTTGCCCAGGCCCAGCAAATCTGGGGAGGAATTTTCTAATTTTCACCCAATAAACCCTTCCACTAGGACTTAGCCATCCTTTGTCCTGGAGGAGAGGAGGAGGTAGGTAAACAGACTCCCTTAAAAACCTAGGGAGTCCAAACAGTCTGCTGCTCACCTCTCTGCTGAGCCGCCCTGCCCAGGTGCATTCTGGGCATGCTCTCCAGTCAACCATGTAACCTTGTTTTCCCCCAGTCCGAGTGACTGGGCACTGTCTCTCTGTCCCTATTCCCAGTAAAGCCTTATCACTTCGCTCTCTGTCTCATGCCTGAACTCTTTATTGCTTGAAGACAGAACCCATGGCTTCCACGGCTTTTTGATCCGGTGACAGAACTGGCACCCACATGGGATGCCGGCACTGCAGGCGGCAGCTTTACCTGCTACAGTCCCAAATGGCAATAGTTTAATTCCTAGAAACCCAGAGAACAGACTTGAGGTATCCACGTCTATAGGAACTGTTTCCTACTCTGGCCAAAAAGGTTTGTTCAGATAACCAAAGCCAGCTTTGTAGCTTTCAACGTGTGTGCATATGTACATACCCGCTGCACTCCCATGTATTTGCTCCTTCACTTGGTTTTCTAGCATTTCCAAATTTTCAGTAAAAGTTTCAATACAATCCTTTCTTCAGTCTGCGGTGGGGCAGATGTCCCTCTTGCACAGCTTCGAGGAGCTCGCACACATCTCAGCAGTCTTTCTGGTGGAAAGTGAGCTCCTCCTGTCATATTCAGAAGACTGTTCAGGAAGGCCAGTGTTGGCAGGCTTCCTCCTGGGGGTTCATCAGAGGGTGAGCAGGCAGGAGTGGGGGCATCGGTCTCATCTGGAAGAGGGAAGGCCTGATGCACAAAAGTGTGGAATTCACCAAGAAGATTTTTTTAAAAAAAGATTTATTTATTTGAAAGGCAGAGTTACAGAGAGAGGCAGAGGCAGAGGCAGAGGCAGAGAGAGGTCTTCCATCCGCTGGTTCACTCTCCAAATGGCTGCAACAGACAGAGCTGGGCCGATCTGCAGCCAGGATCCGGGAGCTTCTTCTGTGTCTCATATGTGGGTGCAAAGGCCCAGGACCTGGGCCATCTTCTGCTGCTTTCCCAGGCCATAGCAGGGAGCTGGGTTGGAAGTGGAGCAGCCAGGACTCGAATCGGTGCCCATATAGGATGCTGACACTGCAGGCAGCAGCTCTACCTTCTATGCCACAATGCCAGCCCCCACCAGAAGATCTTTTATTTCAGGCTTTGTTAGGATCCAGCTTTATAAATAAGCCTAAGCAAACAAAATAATGGAAGATCATGAGTCAGCGGGCTCAGTCTGGTGGAGCGCTCCAAGTACACAAGGGGCTTTAACTTCATATCTGTACCTTCAGTCTGTCTTCCCACTCTTGTTCCGGCCACATTAAGAATCAGTGCTTGACTGTCACAATAGTGTATTACTCCCCCTAGGGGAGGAGACCAGGACCAGGCAACCAGATCCTCTACTTCTTGGCCATTTCATGGTTCATTAATTAGCACTTCCATTAGAGATAGCAGGGAAAGGAAAAGGAGTAAAATGACAACCAAGTCATCTGGTACCTTTGTGATACTAAAATTACTACAGTCAGGAATGGATTCAAATTATTCATGATATCCTTCCTGTTCCTTTTATTCTTCATTCCTGCAACAGCAGGTATTTAAGGGAAAAATGAATTTCTTAAACAAGACACAAAAAGCATTAACCACAGAGGGAAAAATATCTAACAAATGTAACTGTATTAACATTAAAAATTTTATTCATAAAAGAGACCTTAAAAAACAAGCTGCACTGGCAGGAAATATGTGCAACTTATACATCTAGCAAAAGGATTAGTCTAATATAGGATGCAGAAAGAACTTCTATAAATCAGTAAGAAAATGAGAAGTAGAAAAAGCTGAACAAACTGGAATTTCACACAATGCAAAATAAATGTAGACAGTAAACATGCAAAGAAGTATTCAATCTGACAGGTTATCAGGGAAATGTAAATCAAGACCACACTGAGATACCATTTCATAGGGGAAAGAAAAAAGCTTGATTTTACTAATTGCAAGAGAAGTCAGGGATCAAAGACTCTTGTATCTTGCTGATGGGAGTGGAATTTGGTACAGTTTTAGAAAATATTTGGACATACTTCTTTTTTTTAAAGATTTATTTATTTATTTATTTGAAAGAGTTACAGAGGCAGAGAGAGAGAGAGAGAGAGAGAGAGAGAGAGAGATGTCTTCCATCTGCTGGTTCACTCCAGCCGTGATGGCCAGAGCTGGGCCAATCCAAAGCCAGGAGCCTCGAGCTTCTTCCCCGTCTCCTACGTGGATGTAGGGGCCCCAGGACTGGGGCCGTCCTCTGCTGCTTTCCCAGACCATAGCAGAGAGCTGGATTTGAAGTGGAGCGGCTGTGACTCGAATTGGCACCCAGATGGGATGCCAGCACCGCAGGCGGCGGCTTTACCTGCTGCACCACAGCTCTGACCCCACTGGACATCCTTCTTTAAAGTTGACGCTCACATATCCTGCAGCCTAGAAACTCTGCTCCTAAGAATATGTCAAGCTCTCACCCATGTGTACCACCGAGAGACATGAACAAGGATGTTCACGCAGCCCATTCACAGCAGTGAGAGGCCTGTTGTATGAAGAACAGTTACACTGACTGTGGTATTGTCACACAAGCAGCATTACGCAAAAGTATAAATGAGCAAACTACACAGCCAGCAGCATGGATGCACTTGAGTCACATAAAGTGAGTGAAAAATGAAGCCCCAGAAAAGCATCTGTATCTCTTTTCTACAAAGCTAAAAAAGAAACTAAACAATGTGTTCCCTATACATACTTAGATTCTTGGTAAGACAAAAACTGAAAATGAAAAGGCACAAGAGAATCCAAAACACAGGGCCAGAGTTGTGCTGCAGCAGGTTAAGCTGCCACTCGGGACAGCGGCATCCCATACTGGAACGCTGCATCTGATCCAGCTTCCTGCTAATGCACCCAGGAAGGCAGTGGATGACGGCCCAAGTACTTGGGGCCCTACCACGTGGGATACCCAGATGGAGTTCCTACCTACTGTTTTCTGCCTGGCCCAGCCCTGATATTTGGAGAGTGAGCCTGTTGGAAGATCTCTTATAATCTCTCTCTCTGTGGATCTCTATCTTTCCCTCTCTGTCACTCTGCTTTCCAAATAAGTAAATAAATCTAAAAATCCTCCCACACCTCTGTTTCTCTCTCTTTGTAACTCTGCCTTTTAAAAAAAATCTTAAAAGAATCCCTCCACAAAATGGTTACCTCTAAGGAGGTAGTTGGGATGTGAATAATAACTAGGCAGGAATAAAATATTTTTAAGATTCTAGTTTTGGGGCTGGTGCTGTAGTGTAGCAGGTAAAGCTGCCACCTGCGGAGCCGGCATCCCATATGGGCACCGGTTTGAGTCCCAGCTGCACCACTTCCGATCCAGCTCTCTGCTATGGCCTGGGAAAGCAGTGAAAGATGGCCCAAGTCCTTGGGGCCCTGCACCCATGTGGAAGACCTGGAAGAAGCTCCTGGTTCCTGGCTTTGGATCTGTGCAGCTCTGGCTGTTGTGGCCAACTCCAACTGGGGAGTGAACCAGCAGATGGAAGACCTCTCTCTTTCTGCCTCTGCCTCTCCTCCTCCTCCTCCTTTTTTTTTTTTTTTTTTTTTTTTTTTTAAGATTTTATGGGACTGGCGCTGCGGTGTATTGGGTAAAGCTGCTGCCTGAGGGCCAGCATCCCATATGGGCGCCAGTTTGAGTCCTGGCTGCCCCACTTCCTATCTAGCTCTCTTCTATGGTCTGGGAAAGCAGTAAAAGATGGAACCAACTCCCTGGGCCCCTGTACCCACGTGGGAGACCTGGAAAAAGCTTCTGGCTCCTGGCTTTGGATCAGCCCAGTTCCAGCCATTTTTTTAAAAAAAAGATTTTATTTATCTATTTATGTGAGAGGTAGAATTACAGACAGTGAGAGGAAGAGACAGAAAGAAAGGTCTTCTTTCCATTGGTTCACTCCCCCATTGGCTGCAATGGCCGAAGCTGTGCTGATCTGAAGCTAGGAGCCAGGCACTTCTTTCCGGTCTCCCACATGGGTGCAGGGGTCCAAGGACTTGGGCCATCTTCTACTGCTTTCCCAGGCCATAGCAGAGAGCTGGATCAGAAGTGGAGTAGCCAGGACTTGAACCGGCACCCATATGGGATGCAGGTACTGCAGGCAGAGGATTAACCTACTGTGCCACAGAGCTGGCCCCTGCCTCTCTTTCTCTCTCTGTGTAACTCTTTCAAATAAGTAAATAAATCTTAACAAAAAAGATTCTAGTTTTTATTTGATGGTAGGTCCCAGGGTATTTGCCATTAATTTTTTTTTAAAGATTTTATTTATTTATTTGACAGATAGAGTTGCAGACAGAGAGAAAGGTCTTCCTTCTGTTGGTTCACTCCCTAAATGGCCGCAACGGCCAGAGCTGTGCTGATCCGAAGCCAGGAGCCAGGTGCTTCTTCCAGGTCTCCTATGCAGGTGCAGGGGCCCAAGCACTTGGGCCATCTTCTACTGCTATCCTAGGCCATAGCAGAGAGCTGGACTGGAAGAGGAGCAACCGGGACTAGAACCAAAGCCCATATGGGATGCCGGCACTGCAGGCAGAGGATTAACCGGGTGCACCACGGCACCAGCCTCTTGCCATTAAATTTTAAAGATAAATATACTAGAGTCAGTATTTCACCTAGCTGGGTGAATGCCCTCATCTGATTGCATGGGTTCAATTTCTGGCGTTGGCTCTTGGCTCCAGCTTCCTGGTACTACAGATCCTGGGAGGTGGCGGTGATGGCTCAAGGAGTTTGGTCCTGGGGTCAGTGTTGTGGCATAGCAGGTAAAGCCACAGCCTGTGACTCCAGCATCCCGTATATACACCAGTTTGTGTCCTGGCTGCTCCACTTCGGATTCAGCTCCCTGCTAATGGCCTGGGTAAAGCAGCTGAAGATGGCAAATGTTTGGGCCTCTGCCACCCACGTGGGAAACCTGGATGAAGCTCCTGGCTCCTGCCTTCAGCCTGGCCCAGCCCTGGCTACTGTAGTTATCTGGGGAGTGAACTCATGCATGGAAGATATCTATCTCTCTCTCCTCTCTCTCTCTGTAACTCAATTCACCTCCCTGCTAATGCACCTCGGAACGTTGCAGAAGATGGCCTAAGCGCTTGAGCCTCAGCCATCCACATGGGAAACCAGGATGGAGTTCCAGGTTCCTGGCTTTGGCCTGCCCAGCTACAGTCATTGTGGCCCTTTGGGGAATGAAATAGGGGACAGAAGATCTCTGTCTCTCCCTCTCTCTGTAACTATGCCTTTCAAATAAATAAATAAATCTTGAACAAAACATATATGTCCAACGTATCCAGTTCCTGCCTAACATCTGCAACTCCCTTCTCCAACAGTGTAAATGTGGCTCCTGCCACTGCTGCCAGCCCTAACATGCTGAACCCTCTACCTGTGTGGACTCTGACGCCCAGGCCACTCTGCATGGGACACCCTGCGATTGGCCACTCCTCTGGGAGACACCTTCCTCACTCCACTCAGGCTGACTCTGCTGAGCCACTGTAGTCACCTCTCCTCATCACTGGGCCTACCCACCTGATTCTACCTAATGGCTTTTGGAAAAAGTTACTTAGGAAGGAAGTAAGGATGAAAGGAAAAGAGGAAGAAAATGGAAAGAGAATGGGGTGAGCTTCTTTATTTTTTCTATACTAATGATAACATTCTCTATTTACTGTCATTCATCTTGCAGTCCATTCATAGCTTAATGAGAGCTCCATATCAAAGTTCCCTCTTCTTATTCATGGCAACACAATATTTTTCATTCCATTTCATACCCAATATAGTTTACGCACATACTAGTTTTTTACCCATTCTTCTATTCATAGGTACCTACATTTTGACAATCTTTTTTTTTCCAAATAATATTGAAACACAATTATTGGAACTCTATAGTGACACTTTCATTATGCACCTGTTAGTACATCCATGGGATAAACTGGCTAAAGGGTATAGAACTTTGTAATTTCAGTAGATTTTGGCAAGTACACTTTTACCAGAAATGTACAAGGGGTCTTCAAAGTGTTCATGGAAATGAGTATTATGAAAAACTATATATAGGTTTCAAAATTTTTTTGCATCAAGATAAACTTATCTTTTAATCCCATTTATTCATGAACTTTTTGAAGTACCCTTGCATAAAAATACCTTTAACTTGTTCTTGTGGGTGACAGGGATTTGAGAATTTCTGGGCATGTGTGAATTATAAACCAAAGCAAAGCAAAGCAAAACAAAACAAAACAAAACCCCAAACCAAACACAAACAAAACTCTAATGCAACCCAAATCAAAAAGAGAGAGAGTGGTGGCTTCTTACTCGTGGCCTCTGAGTAAAGCGTCTTCTCATCAACACTGCGAATATCACAGGAAATAAAATATTTCCTTCCTTCAATTTTATCAATTTGGCTGTTTATCACAACAACAGAACAAAGGGGGATAGGTCTGTAGAAATAAAAAAAAAAAAGGAAAAATAACATTTTGTCAGGATAACATAACATTGATAGATGATCAAGTACACGGCCAAGGGTGGAAATTTATGATATCTGATAGCAATTAGCACAGGTTTCCCAAAGGTGACTGTAACCACTAGTCTTAGGTTAGCAATTAGACTGCCTTAAGGGCTCCAACACTGTGAGCTCTCATGCTCCTCTTCCCATGCCTCACTGCTCTGGGCATACAATCCTAGGTTGCCATTCTGGACCTGGTTCAAAGAGATCACCAGGGATTCAGAGATGATTCTTTGTGGAGATTCAGAGGAAGTCTAAAAGGAGCTGAAATCCTTCAGAGAAGTAAAAACGTGAGACAGTCTCATTTCCTTTGTCCAATCCCCTTTAGAGAACTGTCATTGGAAAGGCATCTAATAATAACAAATTGCTGGTAACAGTTTGCTGTTCCAAGCCAGAGCTATCCAACAGAACTTTCAGCGTGATATAAATATACCTTATCTGAGCTGTCTGTCCAAGATGGTAGCCACATGTGGGCATTCTGCATTGGAAAAACAGCTACTGTGAATGAGAAATGGAATCCTTAACTTTAGTTAATTAATTTTAACCTAAGAATAGTGGTTACAGTCACCTTTGGGAAACCTGGAGGTACAGCACCATAATGAAAAGGGTAACACCTGAAGGTGAGGTTTCAGTTAGCAGAAATAGGAGGTAGAGTATAGAAATGCACGTCATGCCTCTGCAGTACCACTAGGAATTCTCTAGATGGAGAGGAAGTTATCAGCACGGCAGAGATTCCTAATGGCAGCCTTGAACATCTGTACCCAGCATTATCTGATTTCCCCATCACACTGGCCAGTGTTTCCTTTTTCGCTTAAGCTACGTGAGTTAAGCATTCTATCCTTCACAACAGAAAGCCCTTGACTAGTAGAGAAGCTAAGAGAAAGGATCTCAGGAAATAGAGAATAATAAAGCAATTATGTTTATACAGTATAATTTTTAAATGTAACTAATATTTTGGCACAAATTAGCTTGGTGGGCACAGACAATAGGCTTTAGATAATTTATCTTCATCCAGTTTTGCCAGATAATCTAATTAGATTTATGTGATACTAATATGCTGCAATGTGAGATTCAAATCCACACCAGTCTGACTGAAAGTCCTGCTTCCCATTTGCATTTGAGCTTGTTACGCTTGTCACATGACTTAGGTGAGGTGGGTAAATCCATATCTTCCCGGGATAGAGCTCAATGCACACTGAGACAGTGGTGCTGGAGACTAACTTAGTGTTTTCACCACCATCACCATCACTGAGGAGATGCATCTGTTGGAGGAACTACTGAATAAAGAGAAATAACTTGTAGAAGCGATTTGGAGATTGATTTTGCTGTGAGATCATAAAAGTAATGAGAACTCAAAAGTATCAACTGAATTTCCAGTAAAAACACAGGATAGGATTTAATTGTGCATTTCAGAGGGAAAAGCTTCCAGAATGTGAAACCCAGTGACTAGAAAGTAAAGTTTCAGTGTCACCAGACTGTTAAATGATCTGAGCTTCTAGAAAAGAAAAACAGAAAAGCCACCTAAATTCGAAAAAGCAAACAAAAAAATTAGCCTAAGGATTGCCCAATTTTTCCTTTTCTCTTGAAGAAAACTAAGGAGTGTAGCTTTTAAAGGTTTGCTTTAAATCTTTGTGGTAGAGTAATACTTGGCGGATAACTTCAGTGTCATCCACCCATCCATTCACGAGAACTCACATTTAACTCCTTCATGCTCGCGCCATTCAGGCAGCAGTGAAACCTCTGTATACCCACAAGATGGAATAATTAGAGCAGGAAAACGAGAGAAAGAAATACCATTCCACAGCTCCTCAGTTTCTAAATAGATGGACAGCAAAGGTTTGCAGCTTTACCAGCCTAGCTTCTATGAGGGTAATTTCTTTTTTTTCTTTTCTTTTTTTTTTTTGGACAGGCAGAGTGGACAGTGAGAGAGAGAGACAGAGAGAAAGGTCTTCCTTTGCCGTTGGTTCACCCTCCAATGGCCGCCGCGGCAGGCGCGTTGCAGCCGGCGCACTGTGTTGATCCGATGGCAGGAGCCAGGTGCTTCTCCTGGTCTCCCATGGGGTGCAGGGCCCAAGCACTTGGGCCATCCTCCACTGCACTCCCTGGCCACAGCAGAGAGCTGGCCTGGAAGAGGGGCAACCGGGACAGAAGCCGGTGCCCCGACCGGGACTAGAACTCGGTGTGCTGGCGCCGCAAGGCGGAGGATTAGCCTACTGAGCTGCAGCGCCGGCTTTTTTTTTTTTTTTTTTTTTTTTGACAGGGAATGAGGGTAATGTCTTCAGCTCCATATTTCTTGTGTTTAAACAGACCTTTAACACTCATGGAAATGTTCCTGTTTTTGAACAATTACACTTTGATTTCTAAAAGTTCTATGAGGTTCCATGGCAAACTTGTTGCTTTCTCTTTTTATGATTTCATCATTTTTTTCCTTTAGATACATGCTATGGGAGCTACTAGTTTTGAAGATGGAATGTCTTCCAGCTTTTCCTGCCTGCCACATTGCACGAAGAGGTCTAATCCAGAACTTCCTGCCTGATTTCTCATGAATGGGTTACAGAGATGGAGACACTGAACCTTTCAGCTGGCTAATCAAATGCTGCTGGAACCATTTTTTCCAATTTTTTTTTTTGGGGGGGAAGGGGTTTTCTATGGCGTGCTTTGCTCAAACTCAGAAAGTCTTATAAGTGCCTGGGAAATTATGGTCCCCAGAAAGGCCCTTATCCTGTGACTGATATGTACAAGTATATGAAGACCCAGCTCTCTTGCCTGAGGTAAAGACAATTCCTGAATCTTACTCCTTTCTCTATGATCAGGCTGAAGCTACCTTTTCTGGGACTTTGAGAATTCAACCTTGGTTGGCTGCAAGCCTTCCTTGTCTTGCTTCTTCTACTTTCTTGCTAGTTTCTTCTAAGTGCACTTCCTTAATATTCTTTTATTAAAAAAAAAAAAAAGATTCATTTATTTAAGAGAAAGTGTAAGAAACAGAGAGAGAGATACACACACATAGAAAACAGACATATAGAAAACAGTCTTCCATCTGTTGGCTCACTTCCCAAATGGCTGCAAAGGCTGGACCTGGGCTGATCCGAAGCCAGGAGTCAGAAGCCAGGAGCTTCTTCTGGGTCTCCCCCATGAGTGCAGGAGCCCAAGGATTTGGGCCATCTTCTACTGCTTACCCAGGCCATTAGCAGGGAGCTGGATTGAAGTGGAACAGCCAGGACTTGAACCCATGCCCATATGGAATGCTGGCACTGCAAATGGAGGCTTAACCTACTACACCACAGCACTCGCCCCAATTCCTGAATATTCAATTGCATAGGAATATGAGGGCACTTCAAAAAGTGTGTAGAAAATCAAAATTGAAAGAAAAGTTTATTTGGGTGCAAAAAAAAATCCAGGCAATTTTCCAATGAACTTTTTGAAGTCTCCTCAAATTTGTCTAAGATTTGCTGCTGAGGAATCTGACTTATGATCCCTAAAGAAAAGTACAAAATTACTGTGAGTTTACCTTCTAAAATTGATGTTTAGATTGGCAGTCATGGCATATCCTCCAGTTAAAACTGCACATGTACCAGCTGTAATATCAATCATGGTTGCAATGGCACCTCCATGAACGTATCTAGTTACAACAAGAGAAGAGAAATGTTTACAGTTCTGAAACAATGAACCTCTTGAAAGGGAGAGGTTATTCAAATATCTACATACAATTTAATTATAGAAAGGCCACTTAATCAATTTTCAGAGTATTTCATGTCAAATAATTCCCATGTCCCCAACTTTATAGCATAATAGTCTTAAATATGTGTAATAAAATCAGAACTTAATAGTAATCAGATTATAAGCATGCAAAAGCCAAAATGTAATCTTTTAAAAAAAAGTTTATTATGTTTTTATTTTTAAAAGAGATTTATTTATTCATTTGAAAGGCAAAATTAGAGGGACAGAGAATCTTCCATCTCTTGTTTCACTCTCCAAATGCTCACAATAGCCAAGGCTGGAACAGACCAAAGCCAGGAGCTCAGAACTCCATGTAAGTTTCCTAAGCTGGGACCCAAGTACTTGGGACATCTGCTGCCTTCCCAGGTGCATCAGCAGGAAGCTGGATTGGAAATAGAGTAGCTGGGACTTGAACTGACGTTCCACTATGGGAGTGCCACAATGCCCACCCTTATTATATTTTTATTAAACAGACTACACATATGCATTGTTCAAAAATTTAGGAAATTCAGCTAAGTATAAAAAAGGATGGAAAAAAGGAAGACCCATAATACTGTCATCTAGTTACTGACAAACCACCATTAACATGTTATTGATATGCCTTCAAAATATACGTTACTGCCCCATGTCTTTTCATAACACATTGGAAACATCTTTCCATGTCAGTAGGTAGACGTATAACTACATTATCATTTCAGTGCCCTCACTGTGGTCCACGGCTACACAGGTGTGCTTGGGGAGTCACACTCCCAGGCTATGATTCTTACCCATGGTTTCCTTGCAGATGAGGACCTCCTTGGAAAACACAAACTACTCTTTTCTCAGCTTCATTATGGAACATCACATATTCGAAGCCCAGGCCTTCCTCAAGGCTTCTTGTGAAGATCTGAGCCTTTGGCGTTTGTTCTTCCACAAACTTTGTATCTGCAGGGAAATGAGGTGGATGGGCACATGGGAAACAGGTATGACAGAAACGCCTTGACAGAGTTAAACACCTATACTCTGCACAAATCAGATGTCAATGGAACATTGATCAAAATGTCAACTGCGTACAAAATGCAAAGGAATGGGAGCATCTCAAAGAAACAGTATACAGGATCTTTGCCCTTGCAGAATTAACAACCTAACTGGGGATAAACATATATGAAATCCAAAGTTCTTACCCATATGTAGATATCAGAAAATATAGTCTATAATGCTAACATAATAAAATGATAAGGTATAGACAGAAACCCTTCCTGGAATAAATGGGATTTAAAGAAAATGAATGTAATAGCAAGGAAAAGGTTTTCCTGGCAGACGCGAATTTTACCTATTATTTACACTGAATCAGAAACAGGTCCAGTTCAGCCCAATATTCAGTGTGATTGTGACCCAAACCAAGAGAACAATTAGGGTTCATGAAATCAAGTTAGTGAGTTTTAATGAGACTTTAAGAAGAAACAGAGGTAGGCACCATAACTCAGTGGCCTAATCCTCTGCCTGTGGCATTGGTACCCCATATAGGTGCAGCTCCAGCCGTTATGGCCATCTGGGGAGTGAACCTGTGGATGGAAGACCTCTGTCTCTCTGCCTCTACCTCTGCTCCTGTCTCTCTGTAACTCTGCTTTTTATGTAAATAAATAAATCTAAAAAAAAAAAAAAGAAACATAAGGAGTTGGCATTGTGGCACAGTGGGTTAAGCTGCAACCTGCAACATCAGCATCACATATAGGCACTGGTTTGAGTCCCTGCTGATCCACTTCTGATCTAGCTCCCTCCTAATGCACCTGGGAAAGTAGTGGAATATGGCTCAAGTGCTTGAGTCTTTGCCACCTGCATAGGAGACCTGGATGGAGTTCCTGGCTCCTTGTTTTGACCTGGCTCAGCCCTGGCTGTTGCAGCTATTTGGGAAGTAAACCAGCAGATGGGAGACCTCTCTGTCATTTTGCCTCTCAAATAAGTAAGTAAATAAATCTTAAAAGAAATAGAAAAAACAGAATACTTCATACGTGTCCTGCATAATACTAGTGCGGTTGCTCTTTTGTCCCATATAATTTTCTATATAATGAGGACATAAACCTCTAAGATCTCTTCCAGCTCTGACATCAGGATAAGATAAACATCAAATCCTTCTAATTTTTTACTTAGGAGTTCAAAATTTCTGGTCTGGATTATTAAACTTTGATGTTATCTCATAAAAATGATAAAAATAACAATGGTAGTGAGTTTCCTATCTAGCTCCCTGGGAAGGCATTGGAATGTGGCCCAAGTGCTTGGGCTCCTGCCACCCACGTGGGAGACCTGGATGGAGCCTGGGCTCCTGGCTTTGGCCTGGATCAGTCCTGGTCATTGCGGCCATTTGGAGAGTGAATCAGCTCATGGAAAATCTTCTCTTGCCCCCATTATTCTGCCTTTCAAATAAATTAATGTATTTTAAAAAAAGATTTATAATGTATTTAAAAAATTATTTATTTATTTATTTGAAAATCTATGTTAGAGAGGGAGAGACACAGAGAGAGAGAGAGACAGCTTCCATCTGCTGGTTCACTCCCCAGATGTCCACAATGGCCAGGGCTGGGCCAGACTGAAATTAGGAGCCAAGAGCTTCAATCCGGGTCTCTAGTAGCAGGGGCCCAAACACTTGGGCCATCTTCTGCTGTTTTTCCCTGGCCATTAGCACAGAGTTGGATTGGAAGCAGCTGGGACATGAATCAGTGTCCATATGGGATGCCAGCTTCACAGGCAGAGGCTTAACCCACTCTGCCACAACACTGGCCCCAAATAAATAAATCCTGAAAAAGGAAAAAGAAACACACAATCTCATGCTCTACCCTTGACCTACTGAAGCAGAGCCTGCCCCTTAACAAGCTGTTTCGTGTTCAGGTTGAGAGGCACTAGTCTTTTAAGATATGGCTAACACTGAAGGCAGCAGAGGGAGGCCACGATCAGATCTCCATTTTGAATCACTCTGACAGTTGGGCAGACGGAGGACTCTGAGGAGAGCAAGACTGGAGGCAGGAGATGTTAGAAGCACTCTGTAACACCATAAAATTACAATCAAGTTAACTGCTAGGTGGGATGACTGATTTCTCTAGTAATGTTCAGTGACATGAGGCCTGTGCAAAGCGGATGGCAGGGGCCTACTTGTGGCATATTGGGTTAAGCTGCTGCCTGTTGGTGCTAGCATCGCTTTGAGTCCTGGCTGCTCCACTTCCAATCCAGCTCCCTGTTAATGTGCCTGAGAAAGCAGTGGAAAACAGACCGAGGGCTTGGACCCCTGCACCCACATGGGGGACACGAAAGAAGCTCTGGTTCCTGGCTTTGGTCTGGCCCAACTTCAGCCGTGGTGGCCATTTGGGGGGTGAACCAATGGATGGAAGATCTCTTTTTCTGATTCTCCTTCTCTCTTTCTCTGTAACTCTTCCAAATAAAATAAATAAATATTAAAAAAATAAATAAATAAAGAGAAGATGGCAGATGGTTAGGTTCCTCCAGGGCAGGATTTTCCTAGGTAAGTGACCTTAAAAAGTCTGGATAGACGAGGGCTACGTGGACAATGAGAAAGCAAAGGACTTAGTGAGCTAAAGGTCTTCATGAGATCCAAGAACTGTTCCCAAGGGGTCTTCGAACAAGCAAGCAGGAAGGAAAAGATTGTGGTTGGAAAACAGCATATCTAAATATGCAGATTTGGAAGCTGTGCACTTTGTGGGAAGATGAGGCAAAATATGCTCATGGGAATGTGTGTGGCTGGGACTGGGGGAAAGAGAAGTTGACGGGTGAGGAGGAAACCAGGAACTGAGGCGCCACCATGTGGATGCTGGGGTCGGGTACAGGGAAGACCGATCGGTGCTGAAACCGCACCAAGGGAGAGGTGAGTAGATGACAGGTAGAGGGGAAGAAGAAGGTGATAAAATCAGACAGTATATAAGCCACAAACAGAGAGTTTTCTAAGAAGAGGGGAAGTAAATGTTTGAAAGCAGGGACTGGTAGCAAAGCCCAGTTTAAACTCTTCTTGATTCTGAGAGGGCCAAGTTTCAGTTAAGAGGGAAGTGGGGGCTGCATGGGGGAAACAACAGAATATTTGAGAATGAAACCCTGGAAAATACTGACATTTAAGAAACAGACAGAAAGGGAGTGGGAAGACTGGCCTAGCAAGGCTTATGAAAGCCAAGAGAAAATCATTTCAAGAATGAGAGGGCTGGCACTGTGGTGTAGCAAGTAAAGCTGCCGTCTGCAGTGCTGGCATCCCATAGTGTCACCGGGTCGATTTCCTGTTGCTCCACTCCCCATCCAGCTCTCTGCTGTGGCCTGGGAAAGCAGTAGAAGATGGCTCAAGTCCTTGGGCCCCTGCATCCACGTGGGAGACCTGGCTCCTGGCTTCAGATCAGCACAGCTCTGTTCGTTGTAGTCACCTCAGGAGTGAACCAGTGGATGGAAGATCTCCCTCCCGCCCTCCCTCCCTCTGCCTCTGCCTCTCTCTGTAACTCTGCCTTTTAAATAAATAAATAAATCCTTTTTTTCTTTAAAAAAAAAAAAGAGGAATGAGAATATAAGTACAGTAAGGGCCAAATAATGCTCATGGAATTTGGCACTGGGGTCACCAGTGGCTTCTGTGTAGAAATTTTGGTATAGCTGTTAGGGTAGCCATTAGCACTGAGTAAGGACACTTACTGTGGTAACAGAATGGAATGGAATCAGTAATACAAATTAATTACATTTTTAATTACAAAATTACATCTTAAGTAATTTAATAATTGAAATAATTTAAAGAGAAATTATTTTTTCCTTTCATTTTATAAAATACAATAAGTCATCTCTATATAACAGAGATTCTATAAAGAAACTTAAGAACTCTATATCATTTTCTTTTGGTTACAGTAGTTTTATCATTGTTTCATTTCTTCCTTTAGCAGCACTGAAGTATTTACTATGAGGAAACTGAGATACAGAAACGTAGAGTACTTGCTCAAGGTCACAGAGCTTTAACTTGTTGGAGCCAGAATTTGAACCCATTTGAACTAAATTTGAACTAAATTTCGACCATTAAATTAGGAAGCTGTTGGCTTCTGAATGGCTCTGAAGCCATGACACTGAATGTGACCGAAGAAGTACAGAGAGGAAACCAGTACGGTACTGAAGATTGAGACACAAGGCTATCCTTACATTAAGAGTTTGTAGATGAAGAGGAATTGGCACCAAATTGGTAACCAAAAGGAGAATGTGACGGTCTAGAGGTCAAGTTTAAGGAGGAAGGAGTGTACTAGCTGTGCCAAAAGCTGAGAAGTTATTAGGTTTCGCAACTTGACAATCACTGGTGCCCTTGACAAGAGTAGTTTTGATGGAGTGGTGGCAATCAGAGTCTGATTAGTGGTTTCAAGAGAGACTGGGAAGAGAGAAGTATACTGCAGCATGTCTATACGCTGATGAGAAAGACCTGCCGGAGAGGGATGTCCAGTGTGGACCTAAGGGGATGAAATGCAGTGCCCAAATGGAGGGCGTGCCCTCCCCTAAGAGTACAGTTCATTCACAGCAGGAAAGAAACAGAACATCAGACACGGATGCAGGGGGAGGACACAGGAGGTAGCAAGAGCTCGGGAGTTCTTAGTGAAATAAGAAGCAGGATCAGCTGAGTTGAGAATGGGAAGGCAGAATCAGAGGCTCAAGAGGAAAGAACATGTATGTAGAGGAAAGGAGATATGCAGACTAGGGAAACCAAGGACCTATTTGGGTCATTTTTCAAAGGTCATTAACTCCCCAGGCTTCTGCCTAAAGGTCTGTTTAGATGATTAAAAGCTAGTAAGTATCTCAGAAATACCTGGATAAGCTCCATGACAGCAGAGACTATCTGTGTATTAAGGTATACTTCACGAATACAGTGCTTGGCAGAGCACAGACGCTCCACAGATATTTGCTGAATAAATACACACTGCATGCTGTAAGTTAGAAAACAGAAAGTTTCTTTTTTTTTTTAAGATTGATTTTTATTTATTTGAAAGGCAGAGTTACAGAGAGGCACAGGCAGAGACAGAAAAAAAAGGTCTTTCATCTGCTGGTTCACTCCCCAAATGGCCACAATGGCTGGAGCTTCGCTGCTCCAAAGCCAGGAGCCAGCAGCTTCTGGGTCTCCAATGCGGATGCAGGGGCCCAAGGACTGGGGCCATCTTCTACTGCTTTCCCAGGCCATAGCAGGGAGCTGGATTGGAAGCAAAGCAGCCAGGACTAGAACTAGTGCCCATATGGGATGCCGGCACTGCAGGTGGCAGCTTTATCCACTACGCCACAGCACTGGGCCCCAGAAAGGTTTTTATAAAGTGAAGAATGCATTAGGTGCACATACTTGTATACAAAAAGTTCTTCAGTTAGGCTCAGTAAGTCAGCCACATAGGACACTAAAGAGGAGACAAACAGTTCACAAGAGAGACACAGGGTATTAGTTGATTTTAAGTGGACAATGTGACATGGCCCCTGCTGGAAAAATCTTAATTTGAGTTTTAAACTTAGTTCTGGGAAGCACTAAGAAGGGTTCTAACAGACTAGAACATGCCCTGCAAAAAAGCAAACAGGAATGTAAGGCGACTGAAATCCTAAGGGAGCAATGCTCGAAAAGAACAGAGGGGGGCGGTGCTGTGGTGCAGCGGGTAAAGCTGCTACGTGTAGCGCTGGCATCCTATATGGGTACCGGTTTGAGTTCTGGCTGCTCCCCTTCTATTCCAGCTCTCTGCTATGGCCTGGGAAAGCAGTGGAAGATGGCCCAAGTCCTTGGGCCCCTGCACCCGCGTGGGAGACCCAGAAGAAGCTGCTGGCTCCTGGCTTCGGTTAGCACAGCTCTGACCAGTGCGGCCATCTGGGGAGTGAATCAGCGGATGGAAAACCTCCTTCTCTCTCTGTGTAACTCTGACTTTCAAATAAATAGATAATCTTTAAAAAAAAAAAAAAAAGTGAGGCAGCTTCTTGTATCTTGTCTTTTTTGTATGTTCACTTCCCCTTATGCTTTCCAACATAAGTTAAAGCAGTATAAGGCCCTCACCAGAAGCTAAGGAGATGTCAGTATTGTGTTCCTGGACTTCCCAGTCTCCTGAACCATGAGCCAAAACAGTCATAAACCTCTATTCTTTATAAATTACCAAGTCTCTTGCTGTAATTTATTACAGCAACAGAAAATGGTCTGGGGCCAGCATGTGGCATAGCTGGTTAAGGCACAGCCTGTGGCACTGGCATCCCATATGGGTGCTGGTTTTAGTCTCGGCTGCTCCACTTCAATCCAGCTCCCTGCTAATGTGTCTGGGAAAGCAGCAGAGGATGGCCTAGGGGCTTGTGCCCCTGTACCCACATGGGAGACCAGGAAGAAGATCTTGGTTCCTGGATCCTGGCTTTGAACTGGCCCAGTCTCAGTCTTTGCGGCCATCTGGGGAGTGAACCAGCAGATGGAAGATCTCTCTCTCTCTCTCCTTCTCTCCCTCTGTAATACTGCTTTTCAAATAAATAAATACATATTTTAAAATAAGAAAATAAAGACAGACAGACAGATAATGGGTAAAAGTCACAAGAGATTATAGCTCAATACAGTATAAAGAAGAAATCACTAGGGGTTGGCATTGTGGCACAGAGGATTAAGCCGTGGCCTGCAGCGATGCCAGCATCACATATGGGTGCTGATTGAGTCCCAGCTACTCTACTTCTGATCTATTCCTTGCTAATGCGCCTGGGAAAGTAGTGGAGGATGGCCCAAGCGCTTGGGTCCTGGCACCCATGTGGGAGATGAGGAAGAAGCTCCTGGCCCCTGGTTTTGGCTTGACCCAGCCCTGGCTGTTATGGCCATTTTGGGGAATGAACAAGTGGATGGAAGACCTCTCTCTCTGTAATTCTGCCTTTCATGTAAATAAAATAAATCTTAAAAAAAAAAAAAAAAAAAGAGTTAACGCAGAAAACAAGAGGAGACATGGAAAACGTGAAACAGTAGTGGTTCCCAACCTTTCTTCCATTCCCCAACAGAAGGCTGCCGTCTTCTTTTCAGCACTGAGCCCAGTAAGGAAGAGTGCCCGGCCGTGAGCACTACACTGGGGGACACTTGATTTGTGTTCCTCACTGCTATATCCCGGTGCCTATGCCTGCCACAGAGTAGGTTCTCAGTAAACATTCATGAAAGGAAGAGGCCGGTGATTCTAAATGAGGAAGAAGTACTGGAGACTAAGAACTCTGAAGTGATTCTGATGGTCCCTTGGTATTCCTGCACCAAATGATCTTCCATATCAGTTCTCAGATTCTGTTTAAAGTCATTTGATTTACTTTGTTTATTTGTTTCAATAATTGCCCGTACTTATAAAACTTTAAATTAGTGTGTCTTGGGGCCAGCACTGTGGCACAGCAGGTAAAGCTGCCAGCTGTGACTCTGCCACCGCGTGTGGGCACCAGTTTGGGTCCCGGCTGCTCTGTACCAATCCAGCTCCCTGCTAATGGCTTGGGAAAAGCAGCAGAAAATGGCCCAAATGTCTGGGCCCCTGCCACGCATGTGGGAGAATCAGATGAAGCTCCTGACTGCTGGCCTTGGCTTGGCCCTGTCTGGCCATTGTGGCCATCTGGGGAGTGAACCAGCAGATGGAAGATCTCTCTTTCTTTTTCTCTCTGTAACTCTTTCAAATAAATAAATAAACCTTAAAAAAAAAATTAGTAGGTTCTAGTAGGTCATGAATTCCTTTGAGAATCTTATGGAAGCTATTGATTCCTCCCTAAAAAATGGACATTCCTTGGAGAAGAGAGATGACTCATTTTCGAGTGCTGCATCTGAAAGACTAGCATACTTTTGCATTTTCATAATGGTAGGTGCTGCAAATTTTTGGTTTGATTTTAATTACAAAATTCTAATTTTACAGCCTAATTATCATTATGGCATCTTCTAAAATGGTAGGTGAAGGTGGGTATTAACTCCCAGTGTTTGTAAGGCACTTAGTATATTCCAAATACTATTCTGAGCACTAGGAAACAAAACATACAGAAAACTCTGCCCTTGTGGAGCTTCTACTCCCAAAGTGAGATAAACTACTGAGTAAATAAAACACTGAGTACGCCAGATGGTGGTAAGTGCTACTGAAAAAATAAATGCATCCTACATGGATATTACTAGGTAAAAGATGCTAATCTGAAAAGGCTCCACACTGAATGACCCAACTATACTCCTATAACATTCTAGAAAAGACAGAATATGAATACAATAAAGAAAACAGAGTTTTTCAGGGGTTGGGGAGGAAGGAAGGAAGAACAGGTACATTACCGGATTTTTAGGGTAGTGAAACAGTACAGTATAATACTATAATGATTGATACATGTCATCATAAACTTCTTAAAACCCATGGAAAATATGTGTATAACACAGAGTGAACTCTAATATAAACCATGGACTTTTGTTAGTAATAATACATCAATATTGCTTCATCAATATTACAAATATATCACAGCAATGTATGATGTTAACAACAGGGGGAATTAAAGCCAGGAGATGTCAGGAGGTATATGGGAGCTCTGTTTTCTCTGCTTATTTTTCTGTAAGCCTAAAGACAAAAAGTGTATTCATTAAAATAAAAATCAATAAAAAATTCCCCAGGAAGACAGGTCTGCTGTGTGTGTGTGTGTGTGTATTGGGTTGAGGGTGGGTTGCCTTAAGGGTTTAGAATCTGGGAAATGCGAGGGTGACCCAAGTGTTTAGAGCTTCTCAGCGTGATGGATCCAGATTTCAGATAAAGGACAAAATGCGATTAGTGATGACACGTGCAGGACAGGGAGCTGACGAGGGTGTGGGACGGTGCAGGCTCTCTGGGACCCCTTCACTCCTGCTAGTGCTGGTAAGAACAGCAGGGTGGATGCAGTCTTATTCTTGACAATGGGCTTTATGTTCTCACATGCTCGGTAGAATTAGTTGAGATTCCTGGCCTATCAAACTGGGGACTAGAGAACTCCCACACTGTCTTCCTTCTCTCTTAAAGCAGTAATGAGTGCTTCAATCTGTTCTGAGTTTTATATCTGATGTCCCAATATTTTTTTGAAGGAATATGGCTGTTTCTACCAAGAAAAAGGTTCCTGAAGTTTTGAACCCTTTGAGTAGACTTACATTTATATGAAGGCAAACGTTTCCAGGAGCCATCTTCACATTTCTTCATGAACTGGTCATAAAGGAGTCTTATGTCCTTGGTCCAGCTGGGGTTAGGGAGTGAATAGTCCTTTTGAGTGGCTTTCTCAGAAGAAAATGACCTCTGAAAGACAGAAGAATAGTGGGTGATGCATTCCCATTCATAATATATTCTCCCAGTTTTCAATGACTGTCTGGTTGCCTTTTTTTTTTTTTTCCTTCAGAAGATTGTTACTTTTAAACAGAAGGGAACTGCAGGGATCACCTGGTCCAACATCCTTGGGCGAAACAGGAGATTGAGAGAGGGTAAGGGATTTGCCTGCTGTCACTCAGCTATCTCCTGGCAGAGCCAGCTTTCAGTCCACATCTACTTTCTTTCCAACTTTAATCAAGCACAGGTGATGAGTAAGGCGCTGGCACTAAGGTGAGATGAAGGACATCCTCTCAGACTGGGGGTCCAGAGAAAGTTCTTTGCTTGGATTTTTTTTTTTTTTTTTGATAGGCAGAGTGGACAGTGAGAGAGAGAGACAGAGAGAAAGGTCTTCCTTTTGCCGTTGGTTCACCCTCCAATGGCTGCCGCAGCCAGTGCGCTGTGGCCGGCGCACCGCGCTGATCCGATGGCAGGAGCCAGGTGCTTCTCCTGGTCTCCCATGGGGTGCAGGGCCCAAGCACTTGGGCCATCCTCCACTGCACTTCCTGGCCACAGCAGAGAGCTGGCCTGGAAGGGGGGCAACCGGGACAGAATCCGGCGCCCCGACCGGGACTAGAACCCGGTGTGCCGGCGCCGCTAGGCGGAGGATTAGCCTAGTGAGCCTCGGTGCCGGCTTGCTTGGATATTGACAAGAAGAAATTAGCCCGCTGGAAAGAGTATTGTAGGCAAAGGATCGCTGTATACAAGCAAGTGGTGTGAAAGTCTGGAGGGGCCTTATTACAACTGGATGACGTAGGTACTAATTATTACCCCCATTCTACGGGTGATGAAGTTGAGGTATAAAAGTGAGGCACTGTCACAGTGCAAGAGGAGGAACAGACGCCTGCAGAGACGCAGGCAAAAACCTCAACACTCAGCTAACTGGTTTGAATTATAACTGCAGGGCCCTCTGAAGAATTTTAAACAGGAGAGGGACAAGATCAGTTCCAGCATCTTTTTATGGACTTGTAGGAATTAGAATCATTCTCTCAACTGTGCACTCCCTTACCTGATTTTCTCTTTTAAAGTGTGGGATTCATCCAACAAGCTTTCTTTAAAAAAAAAAAAAAAAAGATTTATTTAGGCTGGCACTGTGGCTCACTTGGCTAATCCTCCGCCTTCGATGCTGACAGCCTGGGTTCTAGTCCCGGTTGGAACTCCGGTTCTGTCCCAGTTGCTCCTCTTCAAGTCCAGCTCTTTGCTGTGGCCCGGGAGGGCAGTGGAAGATGGCATAAGTGCTTGGGCCCTGCACCCGCATGGGAGACCAGGAGGAAGCACCTGGCTCCTGCCATAGGATCAGTGCAGTGCACTGGCTGTAGTGTGCCAGCCGTAGCGGCCATTTGGGGGGTGAACCAACGGAAAAGGAAGATCTTTCTCTCTGTCTCTCTCTCTCTCACTGTCTAACTCTGCCTGTCAAAAAAAAAAAAGGTTTATTTATTTGAAAGTCAGAGTTACACAGAGAGAGGAGAGGCAGAAACAGAGAGATCTTCCATCCGATGGTTCACTCCCCAATTGGCTGCAATGGCCGGAGCTGCGCCAATCTGAAGCCAGGAGCTAAGAGCTTTGTCTGGGTCTCCCACGTGGGTGCAGGGGCCCAAGGATTTGGGCCATCTTCTACTGCTTCCCCAGGCCTTACCAGAGAGCTGGATCGGAAGAGGAGCAGCTAGGACTAGAACTGGCATCCACACGGGATGCTGGCACTTCAGGTCAGGGCGTTAACCCCCTGAGCTACAGCGCCGGACCCCAAGAAGCGTTTTTGAGCCCTACTATTTGCCCTGGTTCTGTGCCAGGGACAAGTGAGACAAAGAGAGAAGACCTACTCCTGCCTTAAGTTTTAATAGCCTCAGATGTGAAAAATACTACAATAGAAGTAGACCAGGTGCAGGAGTGACTTAGGGAAAACTTCAAAACAATAATATGATTTCTTTTTTTTTTTTTTTTAAGGTTTCTTTATTTATTTGAAAGGCAGCATTACAGAGAGAGAGAGAGAGAGAGAGAGAGAGAGGTCTTCCACCCTCTGGTTCACTCCTCAAATGGCCTCAATGGCCAGGGCTGGGCCAGGAGCTTCTTCTGGGTCTCCCATGTGGGTGCAGGGGCCAAAGGACTTGGGCCATCTTCCACTGCTTTCCCAGGCACACCATGATATGAATGGTGGAGTAGAAAAACTGCATCTCAGAGACTCTGGCTCTAAGGCAGGACTTAAATTTCATCTTCTAGCTCGCTGGTTCTGAAGACCAGTATGAAAAGATGGCTTTATATGGTACAAGGACAAAGCTACATGTCTTTTTTTTTTTTTTTAAGATTTATTTATTTATTTGAAAGTCAGAGTTACACCGGGGTGGGGGGCAGTGGTGGTATTGGTGGTGGTCTTCCATTCGCTGGTTCACTCCCCAAATGGCCGCAACGGTTGGAGCTGAGCTGATCCAAAGCAAGGAGCCAGGAGTTTCTTCCCGGTCTCCCACGTGGGTGCAGGGGCCCAAGGACTTGGGCCATCCTCTATTGTTTTCCTAGGCCATAGCTTTACCCACTAAGCCTCAGTGCTGGCCCCAGACACATGTCTTTTAAAATATTTTATATAGGAGCTGGTGCCGTGGCATAGTGGGATAAGCCTCTGTCTGTGACTCTGGGAACCCATATGGGTGCTGGTTCAAATCCTGAATGCTCCTTTTGGATCCAACTCCTTGCTAATGCACCTGGGAAGACAGTGGAGGATGACCCAAGGGCTTGGGCCCTGCACCCATGTGGGAGACCTGGAAGAAGCTCTTGGCTCCTGGTTTCGGATTGACCTAGCCCTGGTCATTGCGGCCATTTGGAGAGTGAACCAGTGGTTGAGGATCTAGCTCTCTTTGTAACTCTGCCTTTCAAGTAAACAAATAAATCTTTTTAATAATTTATAAAATTCTTTTATAAGAATTTAGCATCAGTCCAAGGATAGATAGGCGGTAGTTAGACAAACGTTCTCTTTTTTTTAAAGATTTATTTATTTGAAAGTCAGAGTTACACAGAGAGATGAAAAGACAGAGAGAGAAAAGAGAGAGATATCTTCCATCTACTGGCTTTCTTCCCAAATGGCTGGAATGGCTGTGGCTGGGCTAGACCAAAGCAAGGAGCAAAGAGCTTCTGCCAGGTCTCCCATGTGTGTGGCAGGGGCCCAAGCACTTGAGCCATTCTCCACTGCTTTCCCAGGCTCATTAGCGGGAAGCTACATTGGAAGTGGAGTGACAGGGACTTCAACCAGTGTTCATATGGGATGCAGGCTTGGCAGGCTGTGGCTTTACCCACTATGCCATAATGATGGCCCCTAATAAATAAATCTTTAAAAAAAATTTTTTTTTTTTTTGACAGGCAGAGTGGATATTGAGAGAGAGAGAGACAGAGAGAAAGGTCTTCCTTTTGCCGTTGGTTCACCCTCCAATGGCCGCCACGGCCGGTGCGCTGCGGCCGGCGCACCACGCTAATCCGAAGGCAGGAGCCAGGTGCTTCTCCTGGTCTCCCATGGGGTGCAGGGCCCAAGCACTTGGGCCATCCTCCACTGCACTCCCGGGCCACAGCAGAGAGCTGGCCTGGAAGAGGGGCAACCGGGACAGAATCCAGCGCCCTGACCGGGACTAGAACCCGGTGTGCCGGCGCCGCTAGGTGGAGGATTAGCCTAGTGAGCTGCGGCGCCGGCCTTAAAAATGTTTTAATATAAGATTACAAAAGGACATATAAAGAGTATACCATTCTTGTAATTTTACAAATATTATTATTCAAGATGAAGCTAATTAAAGAAAGGGAGTCTTTAAAGACTCGTGAAGGTGGAATTGTATGATGAAATGTCTTTTTCCATTATGGGGAGCCCAAAGGAATCTGAAGAAAGGAAGGGAGTAACATGAAAATAAGTTTTATAAAGGCCCTTCTACTGTAAAGAACAAATTAAAATGTAAGAAGCAATGGTGGTGAAATCAGTTAAAAGGCTGCTGACAAGGTCCTGGTCAGATACACTTAGAACCTGAACTAGGCTCAGAGGAATGAGAAGAAAAGTTTTAAGAGACATGTAAGACATTAGAACCAAGAGACATGGAAAACTACTGACTACTGGGGAAGAGAAAGTAGAAGAGCCTTGGATGACTGCAAAGGTGTGGGTTCAAAGCTTGAGGTGGACAGAAGGGAAAGAAAGATTAAGGTTAGCATGAGTGTGTGGGTGAGGAGAACGGGGAAGTATTCATTTTAGTTCGGAGCATACTGAGTTTGTTATCCCAGATGGTAACTGTGAGAAACAAAAATAAAGCTTCACTTCAAGGAGCTGAGAACTAGGAGATATTTGAAGTAAGTGCACTTGTGAATTCAAAGCACAGACTATACCAGGAGGGTTGTTAGAATCATTCCTTTTGTTGCCGTGAATAAAGGAAAGGTCTTGCTTGATCTTTATAAAGTGGGACTTGTTAAGAAGCATTATGGCTTTTTTTTTTTTACATATCTCCTTCTAAAAATTAAGTTACTAAGCAAAACAGCATGACTAATGAAGCCTGTAAATACTAACACTTAAACAGGCAACACAGATTACAAGGCCCAGCATATAATTAAAAAGAAATGAATTCATCTTGGTTGTTAAAAGATTAGCTCAAGATGTTCTCTTTTCCAATGGGCAAGATGGCACAGGATTAGGGACCAATCCAGGCTCATTATCTTTTAAAAGAAAGCCACAATAGCTCAGAGACACCGTACTGGTAAAGTCCTCTTCCAGCTGCTGCACAGAACTGGGCTGTTCTGGCCGGTGTTCCCTTGGTGTTTTATTACAGCGCACGGTCCGTACATTACTTTTTCTTTTTTTTGACAGACAAAGTGAGAGAGAGAGAGAGAGAGAGAGAGAGAGAGAAAGGTCTTCCTTTTCCATTGGTTCACCCCCCCAAATGGCCGCTACGGCCAGTGTGCTGTGCCAATCCGAAGCCAGGTGCTTCCTCCTGGTCTCCCATGCGGGCCGCACACTACTTTTGCAGCTTGACGTGTGGCGGCAAAGTAGACTGTGAGCTCCTTTGGGAGACAGCATTGTTTCTCACTCATCTGTCTATCACCAGTAGCCAACGACACCTCGAGCACTGCTGAGGCTTAACCAATACTAACTGAATACCCCAATGAGGCAACCGCAGAGACACAAGAACAGGTAACATTTATTCAACATTAGGCCCCAGGCACCGCCATAAACTTCCCTTCCCTTATCTCGTTTAATCTTTAAAAATATTTTTTAATTAAATATTTTATTTATTTGAGAGTCACAGAGAGAGAGAGGGAGAGACAGATCTTCCATCTGCTGGCTCACTCCCCAAAATGGCCATAACCACCTGGACTGGGAAAGGAGCTTCTTCCAGGTCTCCCACGCAGGTGCAGGGGCCCAAGGGCTTGGGCCATCCTCCACTGCTTTCCCAGGCCATTAACAGGGAGCCGTATCGGAAGTGGAGCAGTGACCCAAGGGCTTGGGCCATCTTCCACTCCTTTCCCAGGCCATAGCAGAGAGCTGGATCGGAAGTGGAGCAGCCAGGACTCGAACCGGCGTCCATATGGGATGCCGGCACTGCAGGTGGCAGCTTTACCCACTACCCGACAGCGCCGGCCCCTCGCTTGATCTTCTAACCAGGCAGTGAGAAAAATGGCTTAGAGAGGGTCTGGTTCCCTCACAAGCAGATTCTCCCACGGCTTCGCGAGCTGGCTGTCATCCTCAGAAACAACACCAGCCAGAGGCCATGGGAAGGGGTGCTCGGCCGGCCGTGAGGCTAGCCACGGCTCCGGCCCAGGCTGCCCGCGTTCAGATGCCGGGATGACCCTACTCTCTTCACCTCAGCGGCACCGGTGCTGACCGGAGCCAAGCATCCCGCATCCCGCACGTTGCCTCAAAGCCGAGTCACCCTCCCGGTTCGGATTCTTCCCGTTCGACCCTCAGGATCGAAGCACTTCAGAGCCGCTGTCGCTACTGCTGCCGCGCGGGGCCGGCAGAGGCAAGCGATACGCCGCTACTCGGACCCGGCACCCACGCTTGTCGGCCCGAGCCCCGCCGAGTTCCCTACGCCCGCGCCGCACCCGACTCACCCGCGCGGGTCCCGGCACGGCCCCGAGGGTGCGCAGGCGCGCGGCGCAGCTCCTCAGCATGGCTCCCAGCGGCGGCCGACAGGGCGCAGCTCCTGCCCCGGAGGCTCGAAAAGGTCAACTCGCTTCCCGCCGCGCCCGAGCCTCCGGGTGGACGCTGCTGGGGGGCGGGGCGGGGCGGGGCCTGGGCGGGAAGGGCGTGGCGGGGGCGGGGCCTCGCCGGGTGGGAGGGACGGCGCATTCCGGCAGGCTTCTGGCCTCAGCCCTTTAGTTCCGGGAGACTTTGCGACCCGGCCGCTGCAAAGCCCGGGCAGGATGGCTGGAGCTGCCCGGGTCCTGCCGTCGACCTTGAAGTCGGTCAGGCTTCGCGAGTAGATTAGCGGGCGCCCTTCCCGCCTGGCTCCGGCCGAATCCGGTGCTCCTGTGCCGGGGTAGATCTGGCTCCGGTTGACAGGTCCCTGGGGCGGACAGGAGTGGTTTTATGAAGTGATAGGGTTGCCGGTGTGGATTTCTATAAAGAGTCTGCTGGGTGCAAAGGGCCTTAGCCGATTCAAATGCTGCTGTCCCTGCTCACGCCAGCATCCACGTGTACTCACGTATTACAGAGTAGACTCTTTTGGCCTCTGGCAGAGCGGAAAGTCTTTAAGTCAGGCGTTTTTCAAATCCTAGGACCATTGGAAGGATGCAGGAGTTGACGACTAGCTTTGCTGTCAGACCTGAGATCAAATCCCCCTCCTCCACCGTTTATTGACATCTCGTGCAGACCCAGTCGCTGGAGCCTCTGTTTCATCATGTTTGGGACTAGAACGGGCTCCCATATGGGTTGCTGGCGCTTCAGGCTAGGGTGTTAACCCGCTGCACCACAGCACCGGCCCCAGGACCAATCTCTTGAGGGGGTGGAGAGATACTCTAAAATATGGATGGTTTGTTAGTCTGTTTCCCCACCTGAGACTCCATTTTTGGACATTTGACATTTGACTCCTAACTTCTAGCAAAGCATGGCTACTGGGTGTCCCAGAAAAAGCGCAACCAGTTTTTCAGGAAATGAACTGTCTGGGGCTCATCCTCATCTCTGGGGAACAGAAACTGGGCCCCAGAAAGAACACAATCCATATAGCAATTCCTGTTCCTACAACCTTAAGACAGCTCCGACTAAAGGGTTATGGATCTCTTAGTACAGGAACATAGCAAAGTTTGTATTTGGCTCTCAAGAGCAAGCCAGGGGAGGGTCTCCTCCCTGGAGAGAAAACAGAACACAGCCTTCATCCAGTGAAAGGCTGTCATGACTAGGACCTAGGACCCCTGCACCAGGGTTGTTAAATCCACTCCTTCAAAACATGTGGGCAATTAGAGATACTAACCGATGCCCAAGGGGGCATCATGTCATGCTCTAAAAATGTCTTTTTTTAAAATCAATCAAACTGGACAGGTGCCATTTCTTGGGTAAGGCCAGACAACTCCAGAACCCAGATGAACAATGCTGAAATTTTTGGCCTAACATCTGGTCATGGAAATCCTGGCTATTGCCACTTCTCGGTCCAATAGCTTCCACACTCTTATTGCATCTCTTTGGACCATGTGCCTTTAATGCTCTTGTCTGTTTTGTCTCTAACAGAGTATAAGTTGCCAAACTTCTGGCCTATCCCTTCAGATGGTATGCCCCACCTTCAGGACCGTGCAAAACAATTTCCCAGGCCACCTCTGAACACCACAGGACAGATGTCAAAAGAAGACTACCTATAAGCAGCTCTACACCCATATGTCAGCTTGAAGACAATACAGATGGACCTTCATCCATGCTACCCCCATAAGATTATGGGTGATGACTCTTGAGGGGGAAATGTTAAGGTTAATGGGTAGACATGAGCTTATGTGTGTGCAAGGGGTAGAAGAAAAATGGGAATTTCTGTGTGACAGAATAAGGAACAAGCCTTGGAAGCAAATCAGCATTTGTGAATCAAAATCTCACATTGTTCAATAACCTGGTTAGGTGGATTGCAGCCTTCTCCCTGGGGTAGCTCAGGGGACTCTTGTCTGCCCTTCATGGAGCTACTGTGAAGTCCTGGGGGGGATTCCAGAAAACTCTCCACTCAGCAATATTCCAGAAAGGGTGTAGGGGGAGGAGAAAGAGAGCCCACACCCAACATCCATAACAATTTCAGTCTGCTGCAGACTGGGCTCTCAGTTCTCTGAGATGCCCGCTTGGTCTGTCAGTTGTACTCTCTTCATTATGTATCTTCATTAAACTTTGCTAGAATGCTTACTGCTTAAAAAAAAAAAGGAAAGAAAAAGAAAAACCGAGTGTTTGTTCTGCTCTGGAAAGTAGGACTGAGGCTTTACAAGGAAAGGGAGGGAGGCTGTGCAGCTCAGTGTCTCCAAAGAGAAGCATGTTTGAATGAGTCAGGTGGTTGGAAACTGATGCAAACTAGGGTGGTTGGACACTGTGCAGGTCTGTTGAAATATCCAAGTCAAGGCCAAGGTTATTGAAAAGCCCAGAGAATTGTTTCATTTTCAGTTCTAGTCGTAGGGTCTGTGTGGCAGCTTCTCCCTGCCAGCAAGTCTGGAAGGCTCACCAAGGGATTTCTGCTTCCTCTCTGACTATTCCAAAGACACTATGGCTTTTATTTAGCCATAGAGAATGTCTCACCAGTCTTGCAGAAGGTTCACTAACTTTAGAATAATAAACACATGGGTGAATGTTGTGGCACAGCAGGTTAAGCCACCCCTGGGACACCCACCTTCTGTACTGAGTGCTTGGTTCAAATCCTGGCTGTTCAGTTTCTGATCCAGGCTCCTGCTAATGTGATGCTGGAAGACAGCAAGTGATGGCTCCAGTGGTTAAGTTCCTGCTGCCCATGGAGGAGGCCTGGATGTAGTTCCGGGCCCCTGGCTTTGGCCTGGCTATCACAGGCATTAGGGTCTGAACCAGAAAATGCATGGGCTCTTTCTTTCACCTTTTTCTCTCTCCCTCTCTCCCCTCTCTGGCACTCTGCCTTTCAAATAAATAAAAATAACATTAGAAAACTCTAGCTTTAATAGAGAAAAATAAGTATAGAACACCAAGTTTTCTTAAAGTATTAATTACATACATTAATTTATACTTACTCTAGTTTTGTGAATGTTCAGTAATGAATCATTCATTTTAATTACATCAGCATCTCTGACAGTTAAGGATGACTGAAACAAAATTGCTGTTCAGCGTTCACAAAACTATGCATAAGTGTAAAAGCACTATAAGGGCCGGGGCTGTGGCTCACTTGGTTAGCGGCGCCGGCATCCCATATGGGCGCTGGGTTCTAGTCCCAGTTGCTCCTCTTCCAGTCTAGCTCTCTGCTGTGGCCCGGGAGTGCAGGGGAGGATGGCCCAAGTGCTTGGGCCCTGCACCCGCATGGGAGACCAGGAGAAGCACCTGGCTCCTGGCTTTGGATCGGCGTAGTTCTGGCCGTAGCAGCCATTTGGGGAGCGAACCAACAGAAGGAAGACCTTTCTCTCTGTCTCTTTCTCACTGTCTAACTCTATCTTGTCAAATAAATAAATAATAAAAAAGCACTGTAAGTTTTCTATCTATGTTAGTATAAGGCAAGAAACATTCTGCAAATAAGATGGTTGTAAGGACACAGTGTTAATGTCTAGGAACAGGCAAGCATTCCAGGCTGTATTCCAGAATTTCACAGCTGTGTAAGCCAAGCTCTCCAAACAGTAAAGGAAACCGGAACAAACAGAAGGTTTCAGAAAGGCAAATGTACAACATGAGCACAGGGTGGGGCTGAGGACGGAGTGGCCAGCAGGACCGTGGGCACACCCTCCTCGCTTGTCCTCTGCCCTGCCCTCAGGCACCTGGGGCTTTTCCATGCTCTCTGCTGCAGCCCGGAGCTATAGACCTGAGAGTGCACCCTCAGAACTCAGCAGCTGCGTGATTCAGACAATGGAGAACATTCTCTGTTTTCTGAAGAGCTATGAAATATCCAAGCTTTGGCTCAACTTTCTTAGCTGGTGACACCAAGCACCTTTCTTAATGTACCTGTGCTACCTGGTGCTGAAGCCACTTAGACCAAACCTCTGAAAAAATAGACATTCTGGGACTGGTGCTGTGGTACAGTGGCTTAAGCTGTGGCTTGCAGCGTCAGCATCCCATATGGACACCAGTTCAAGTCCCAGCAGCTCCACTTCCGATCTAGCTCTCTGCTAATGTGCCTGGGAAAGCAGCGGAAGATGGCCGTGTGGGAGACCCAGAAGAAAGTCCTGGCTCCTGGCTCCTGGCTTCTGCCTGGCACAGCCCTGGTCGCTGTGGCCTTTTGGGGAGTGAAGCTAATGATTCATTACTGAACACTCACAGAACTATAATAAGTATAAATTAAATGTATGTAACTAATACTTTAAGAAAACTCTCTCCCCATCTCTCCCTCACTCTCCCTCTCTCTCTCTGTAACTCTGTCTTTCAAATAGATAACCAAATCTCTTAAAAATAAATGGATGAAGACATCCTAATGGTGAGGAACTGAGGGTCTGTTGCTACTGTTTCCCGCATCCATTCCTATATGCCTCCATGAGGGTGGTTGCCTCTGAAGCCAGGCGGAGACGTACGAGGAGAGGATAAAGGAAGAGGCGGGGAAAGTTAGGAGTTCCCAGGGAACAAGAGTTTGCCCTTGAGACTCCCTGACTAGCCATCTGCTGTGGTGGAAGCTAAAATCCCAAACCCAGTGACTCCCTGCTCCTGGATTGGCTGAGAGTTTGAGTTCTCTGAAGAGCCCTCCCCTGACCTTTCATCGAGAGCCACGCCCCCATGGTAGGTGTTCCTCAGCCCGGGCTTCCTTCCTGCAGGCTCGTGGGGAGAGCAGTGCTGAGCCTTGAGCGGCTGCTGCACCCTGAGCTCTGTCCCCCCCCCCCCCCCCCCCCCCCCCCCCCCCACAACTGCTGGTCTCGGATTCCACGCCTTCCTTGAGCAGAGAACTGCTGAGAACGTCAGATGTGGATCCCACAGACAAGATCCTCTGAGTCTTTCAAAGAAGGAAAATCGGAAGCACTGGATCCCATTTAGAAATTAATAAAAAGGGAGCTGGTGCCGCGGCTCACTAGGCTAATCCTCCGCCTTGCGGCGCCAGCACACTGGGTTCTAGTCCCGGTCAGGGTGCCGGATTCTGTCCCAGTTGCCCCTCTTCCAGGCCAGCTCTTTGCTGTGGCCAGGGAGTGCAGTGGAGGATGGCCCAAGTGCTTGGGCCCTGCACCCCATGGGAGACCAGGATAAGTACCTGGCTCCTGCCATCGGATCAGTGCGGTGCGCCAGCCGCAGCGGCCATTGGAGGGTGAACCAACGGCAAAGGAAGACATTTCTCTCTGTCTCTCTCTCTCACTGTCCACTCTGCCTATCAAAAAAAAAAAAAAAAAAAAATTGAAATGGAGAGTCTTACGATTCTTGGCCAATAAATGAATGTCTGAGCTTCTTAGACATGAGAAAGAGAGGAGTGAGTCCCAGCCCCTCATTCTTTCCTTTTGGTTCTCAGGGTCAGGGCAGAGCCGTGAGAAGAAGAAAAGGTGTGATAGTTAAAAGTAAGGTTCCACCTGTTTGATCTGAATGAGCCTTCCAATCCCTTGCAATAGGTGCCAGGTCCAGACCTCAGAGAGGCGCTGCTGTGTGCAGTGAGACCTGGGACACATCTCAGAGTCCTTGTTCTACCCACACGTGGAAATGAGTGAGTGCTGCCCAGCAGGTCCCATGTGAGCCGTCCAGGAAGGACTGCTGGTTGGCTTGCCACTGGAACTTCTCTCTCCCAGCTCTGTGCATCCACTTTGACTTCCTGAGGGCCATGATTCCTCTTCCAGGAAACCTTCTGCTCTGTGCCGCACACGGTGGTTTTGAGCATCACCTGGGAAAGCAGATGGGAAGGTACTTTAGAAATGAAGCCGGGGCCAGCGCTGTGGCATAGCAGGTTACTCCTCCCCCTGCACTGCTGGCATCCCATATGGGTGCCGGTTCAAGTCCTGACTGCTCCACTTCCAATCCAGCTCTCTGCTGTGGCCTGGGAAAGAAGTGGAAGATGGCCCGAGGGCTTGGGCACCCACATGGGAGACCCAGAAGAAGCTCCTGGCTCCTGGCTTCAACTTGGCCCAGCCCCAGGCATTGTGTCTATTTGGGGAGTGAACCAGTGGATAAAAGATCTCCTTCTATCTCTTTCTCTCTATCTCTGCCTTCCAAATAAATAAATAAATCTTTAAAAATAAAGCTTTTTTTTAAAAAAAATAAAGTACATTTTCCTTAAAAAAGAAGAAATGAAGCCATACACATATATCAACCTTGTTAATATTTATTTGAAAGGGAAAGCAACAGAGAGAGGGAGAGAGAGAGGAGACAGAGAGAGATCTTCTGTATGTGGGTTCACCCTCCAAATGGCTGGCCAGGCGAAAGCCCTGGTCTTCCACATGGATGACAGGGACTCAGATACTTGGGACCATCCTCTCAGGGAGCTGGATTGGAAGAGGAGCAGCCAACACTCGACTTGGTGCTCTGATGAGATGCCGGCAGTGCAAGCAGTAGCTTAACCACAACAACACAACTGCAGACCTGACCTTGTTAATAGCATTGACCCCTTGACCTTGTGTACTGGTTCCCAGGTCTTTCAGCGTTTAATATCCAAAGGTCCCCCATAAAGGATCACCTGAATTATCCCTATGCTTCTACTTTTATTACATACAATCAGCTTTCTTGGTTTCCCAAGTTGAAGAATTTGCTATAGAAAAGCAAAAGAGGGAAGGCGGCTGCTATTATCCTTTTGTTTTAAAAGATTTATCTGTCTATTTGAAAGGCAGGGAGAGAGAGAGAGAGAGAGACTCTCCCATCTGCTGATTTACTCCCCATATGGCTGCCATGGCTGACACTGGGCCAAGCCAAAGCCAGGAGCCAGGAACTTCATCTGGGCCTCCCTGTGGGTGGCAGGGACTCAAGTACTTGGGTTATCTTCCACCACCTCCCAGGCACATTAGCAGGAATCTGGATTGGCAGCAGGGCTGGGATGTGAACCGGCACTCCGATACCGGTTGCCAGCATCGCAAGCAGTGGCTTAACCCACTGTGCCACAGTGCTGGCCCCAGGAAGCTGCTTTTTATTCTGAAAAGGTGGCTAGTCTTTTCTTTCCTGGTCCATTTTTAGGCATGCTCTATGCATTCCAGGGAATAGTACAGCCTGCCATAGTCATGGGAGGGTGGCAGTGAGAATAGGATTGAGAATGAAGGCCTTGGGAAGAGGACACAGGGCGTGTCGTCAAGCCCTGTGTGTGGACAATGTGAAAGAGGTGGCAGGCTTTGGGTGGCCCCTCTCCCACTAGGTCAGCTGACCCTCCTGTCCTTGTCTGGTCCTGGCTAGAGCTTTTTCCTCTTGTCTCCTGCAGCCCCGGGGTTGGCCTTAGGACACCGTCTGCTTTCATCATCTGTTCCATGCAGAGCCCACCGATGAGATGTGAGCAGAGCAGCAGCTAAGGTCAGGTGACGGCTGTCCTGGAATCCCTAGAAGATGCCACACCTCTGTGTCCCCTGCGCCTTCCCCAGTGTTTGGGACTGATTCATCATTCACTGTGAACTCTGCCCTTGCAGCAATCCCTGCAAGAAGCCTCTTAACAGCTCCTGTGCCCGAGCCACCCCCAGGTCCCCTCTGCATTCCCTCACTCAACAGATCAATTCCTTAGCAGGCTTTCTTTCACCCTCACACGTGGATGAGTCTGCCACCAAAGCCCATAGCTCCGTCAAGTCCAGATTCCCTGCCCCCAGCCTGCTGGGAGAGCACTAAAGCTTGTCATGGAGGAAAGGTGAGAACAAGGCATCTCTGGCACTGGCCTGGATCGTCCTCTCTTCCACCTCACTTGTGGTTATGGGCCCTAGGACATGCGCCCTCTGACACGAGTGATAGGCTCATTCAGGACATGCCAAGAATTACGGGCAATAGACAGCCTTTCTGCTCCTCACTCCCAGCACCACAGGTGGAGTGGCTAACCCACTGTGTCGCAGAGCCGGCCCCTCTCTTGGCTTTTAAAGGGTGACAAATTCCCTGAGCCCTCGTCCAGGAGTGGATATCACCTGCCTTCAAAAGCCCCCTCCTTCCCTGACGAAGTTGGAGATGCCCCCCTTCCTACCTCCTCTTATCAATGACATTGTATGCAGCCCACACCCCCTCCTCACTGACAATTTCATATCCTATGAGCAGTAAGGAAGACAGGTCTTCGATGAGTGAAAAAGGGGGCAAATACAGGTATGATTTTTGCAATATAGTGGCTTGGCTTAGTCGTTATATAGAGAATGTTTTCAGTGACCAGAGGATCAGAGGAAGGCGAACTTTGAGTACGAGTCTTTGGGGGGTATTGCTGTGAACATCAGGCTGGTTGTGGCAGGGTCTAGGGTCAGGGTAGATGCCTCTTAAGAATATGTCATGGGGCCGGCGCCGTAGCTCACTTGGTTAATCCTCCACCTGGCTCACTTGGTTAATCCTCCACCTGGCTCACTTGGTTAATCCTCTGCCTTCGGCGCTGGCATCCCATATGGGCGCCAGTTCTAGTCCCGGTTGCTCCTCTTCTAGTCCAGCTCTCTGCTGTGGCCTGGGAAGGCAGTGGAGGATGGCCCAAGTACTTGTGGGAGACCAGGAGGAAGCACCTGGCTCCTGGCTTCAGATCAGCGTAGCTCCGGCCACAGCGGCCATTTGGAGGGTGAACCAACAGAAGGAAGACCTTTCTCTCTGTCTCTCTCTCTCACTGTCTAACTCTATCTGTCAAATAAAAAAAAAGAATATGTCATTTGAGGAATGATAATGTGTTGATGCAGCATGATTCGACCCTCCCACTGAAATTTTCTTAGTGGAAAGTCACCTTGAGGAAGTTGTCCCCCTCCCTAGCTATTTTTTCAGGATGCTTTGGAGGTGGGCACTGATGGTGGTGCAGTGGGCTAGCACTGATGGTGGTGCAGTGGGTTAGCTGCTTAGACATCCGTATCCCATATGGAGCACCAGTTTGAGTCCTGGCTCCTCTGCTTCTGCTCCAGCTTCCTGCTAATGCTCCCTGGGAAGCAGCAGATGATGGCTCATGTACATAGGTCTCTGCCACCCATGTGGGAGACCTGGGTTCAGTTTTGGCTCCTGGTTTTAGCCTGGTCCAGCCCTGGATGTTGAAGGCATTTGGAAAGTGAACCAGAGAATGGAAAACCTCTCTCTCTCTCTCTCTCTCTGCCTTTCAAGTAGATGAAAATAAACATTTTACAAGCACAAGACAGATTGGTTGGCGATGCTCTGCAGTGACAGGAACACTGACCAGGCAGACACCCACCTCCCAGGGTAAAACAAAGCTGAGTAAAGAGAAGAGGCCTTTGACTGAATGGGCAAGCAGGCGGAGCTCGAGGGGGAAGGAGTGCCCTGGGTGGGAGGGCACAGGTTTAAGCTTCGCCGTCATTGTGTCATCACCCTTTCTTGTTGCTCTCTTTCCCGGTCTGACCCAGGCACCACTTCCTTGAGACTGATCTGGGTGCTGCACGGGACTTTGATGCCATTTTGGCAAAAATGTACCTGGGCTCTTCTTTGAGCACTAAAGCATTACCTCCTGGGCTATTGTCAGGTGTGGCTTTACCCACTATGCCACAGTGCCAGCCCCACGTAATTCACATTTTGTGTAGCTGCCCACCCTTAAAATAAGGATCTGGTGGCCAGCGCTGTGGCCTACTGGGCTAGGCCTCTGCCTGTGGTGCTGGCATCCCATGTCAGTGCTGGTTCGAGTCCCAGCTGCTCCACTTCCAATCCAGCTCTCTGCTATGGCCTGGGAAATCAGTAGAAGATGGCCTAAGAACTTGGGCCCTGCACCCACATGGGAGACCCAGAAGAAGCTCCTGGCTCCTGGTTGCGGATCAGACCAGCTCCAACCTTTGCAGCCATTTGGGGAATGAACCAGTGGATGGAAGACCTCTCTCTCTGTCTCTCCCTCTCTGTCTATAACTCTACCTCTCAGATAATTGAATAAAATCTTTAAAATAAGGGTCTAAGGGGAAGGCAATGCCACTTATACAGCCTGGCATCCAAAAATGAGCCGAGTTTCCTAGAGAGCAGTAGAGGTAGTTTTTCCTGAAAAACCTGGAAACAATCACCACGGTCCTCCTCCTCCTCCTCCTTCTCCTCCTCCTCCTTTTAAGATTTATTTGAGGCTGGCGCTGCAGCTCACTAGGCTAATCCTCCGCCTTGCGGCGCCAGCACACCAGGTTCTAGTCCCGGTCAGGGTGCCGGATTCTGTCCCAGTTGCCCCTCTTCCAGGCCAGCTCTTTGCTGTGGCCAGGGAGTGCAGTGGAGGATGGCCCAAGTGCTTGGGCCCTGCACCCCATGGGAGACCAGGATAAGTACCTGGCTCCTGCCATCGGATCAGTGCGGTGCGCCAGCCGCAGCGGCCATTGGAGGGTGAACCAACGACAAAGGAAGACCTTTCTCTCTGTCTCTCTCTCTCACTGTCCACTCTGCCTGTCAAAAAAAAAAAATATTTATTTGAAAGTCAGAGCTACAGAGAGAGGGGGGCAGGGAGAGAATTTTCCATCGGCAAGGTCTCCCTAGTTTCTCTGCTTCAGGGTCTCACAAAGCTGTGATCAAGTGTCGGCAGGGGCAGAGTCCCACGTGAAGTGTTGCCTGGGGAAGGACAGGGTCCATGTTCCCTAGGTAGCTGTTGGCAGGATTCAGTTCACCAAGACCGATCGGCCGAGGGCCCCAGTTCCTTGCTGGTGGTGGGTTGGGCTGGAGACGGCTGGAGACCACCCTCGGTTCCCACGGGAGCCTCTCCAATGTGGCAGCTTGCTCAGTCACAGCCAGGAAAGGAGGGTCTGCAGGAGGTGGAGTCATCCGAGTGATCCGAGAAGTCTCCCTGACACGAGCTCTCTTCTTGGATACCTCCCTCAGTCCACTGGAGCCAAGTCATCAAGCTGGGTCCTCGCTCCCATGCATATCCATAGCACCAAAGTTGAAGCTGTTTAATTGCCAGTGGAGTGGTAGCAACAGCACCTGGTCCTCCTGCTCGCTTCCAAGGCAGCAGTGGCTGTCCACTTCTTGAGTTGTGGAGGGCCACGTCTGCTTGCGGTGGAACTTCCTCCTAGCGACGGCCCTGGCTGAGGCTCGAGCTCCGGACACCACCAGCCTGTCACGCAGCGGGGACCAGGCCTCGCCAGAGCAAGGGGCTCAGGGAGTGCTGGGAGGTGAGCTGGGGCCTCAAGGAGGACAGCTGGGCCAGCCAGTCCTGGAGCCAGTGGCCCGAGTCTTGCGTTTTACAGATTTGTTAGGAAACACTAGAGCAATGATTAGCCCAAGGGAGGGTTTCTCAGCCTCACACTACGGACATTTTGGACGAGGTAATCCTTCGTGGTGGGCTGTCCTATGCACTGTGAGATGTGTAGCAGCATCCCCGCCTTCCCCCACCAGAAGCTGGTAGCACCTGCTGGTCCTGAAAATCAAAAATATCCCCAAACCTAGCCAAATGCCGCCTGGGGCAGCGGAGCAGAATCAGTCGTGGTTGAGAACTGCTGGGCTAGGGCTAATTATTTCTCACAACCGAGCAGGGACCTTCTTGAGTACCGTCCCTGCTGCCCTGCAACTCACGCGGGGTTCCCGTCCCGGTCCTGTTGGAAACGGGCTCTATTCTCAGCCAGCGACTCCAGGCTCTGTTCTCTCCAGCAGTTCTTTCCTGAGCAGCGGCAGGTTCCTTGCACACGTGCGCGATCTGCACTCTGTGAATGCCCTCTGCAGCCCTCCAGAGTCCTGCCTCTGTGTAGGCCTCTCCTCTCCAGGCTCCGTCTTGCAAACACTAGCATGCGGGTCACCCCAAACTCAGCGGCACTTCTGCAGCTCCATGCATCCTGTTCTGTGCCCAGCCTGGACCCTTTTAAGGTAAGCGTAGGATCGTGTCCTCATTTGCTCTCGTACTCTCAGGGGTCACGGGATCACTGTCCTTCACAGCCGGGTGTTCATCAGCTTGAGCATTGCTGTTTCATAAGATATGGAATCAACCCAAGGGTTGATTAATGAATGAACAGGTGAAGAGAATGTGGAAAAACAGACCCAGTGGAATACTACTCAGCCTCAAGAAAGATGGGCATGCTTTTGCTTGCAACAACCGGGATGAAACCGGAAGACAGTATGTTAAGTAGAATAATCTAGGCTTGGAAAGGCAAACACGGTGTGCTGCCACGTGTGGAATCCCACAAAGCCCAAACTCGCAGAAGTGGAGAGTAGAATGGTGGTTACCAGAGGCTGGGGCATGGCTTGGGATTGGAGAGATGTTGGTCAGAGAACGTAAACTTTCGGTTAGCAGGAGGAATAAGATTGTGTTCAACATGGTAATTGCAGTTACAACATATTCTGTGCTTGAAAATTGCTAAAAGAGGCCAGCACCACAGCTCACTAGGCTAATCCTCTGCATGCGGGGCCGGCACACCGGGATCTAGTCCCGGTCTGGGCGCCGGTTCTGTCTAGGTTGCTCCTCTCCAGTCCAGCTCTCTGCTGTGGCCTGGGAGTGCAGTGGAGGATGGGCCAGGTCCTTGGGACCTGCACCCGCATGGGAGACCAGGAGGAAGCATCTGGCTCTTGGCTTTGGATTGGCTCAGTGCGCCAGCAGCAGTGGCCATTGGGGAGTGAACCAACGGAAAAAGGAAGACCTTTCTCTCTCTCTCTCTCACTGTCCACTCTGCCTGCCAAAAAATAAAAAAGAAAATTGCTAAAAGAACAGATTTTAAGGGCTCTTACCCCCAAAAAGGTAAGTGTATAACATAATGCATTTGTTAAGTGGCTTGATTTAGCCATTTTACAATGAATACCTATTTTAAACCATCATGTTGTACATATTTATATATATACACAACTTTTATTTGTTCATTAAAAATAAATTTTAAAGAAAACTATTTGACATATTTTGTGAATGAATGAGTGTGTGTGTGTGTGTGTGTGTGGTAGGACAGAGTGCTCTTTAAGGTGAGAGGATAAAATCCAGTCCTGTTATTGCATCTTGGCCCAAGCATATCCTTTAATTTTTAACCTTGGATTGAGTGCCTAATTCCCTTGCAACTTTTCACATTACAGTTTTTTATATAAAGATTTATATATTTGTTTGAAAGTCAGAGTTGCACACAGAGAGAAGGAGAGGCAGAGACAGAGAAATCCTCCATCCACTGGTTTACTCCCAGTTGGCCACAACGGCTGGAGCTGTGCTGATCTGAAGCCAGGAGCCAGGAGCTTCTTTCAGATCTCCCACGTGGGTGCAGACGCCCAAGCACTTGGGCCATCTTCTACTGCTTCCCAGGCCATAGCAGAGAGCTGGATTGGAAGTGGAGCAGCCAGGACTCAAATTGGCGCTCATATGGGATGCCGGCACTGCAGGTGGCAGCTTTACCCACTGTGCCACAGCGCTGGCCCTACTTTACAGTTTTTTTCCCACTGTGAACTTAAGCCTATTTATGTTAAAATTTGCAAAAAGTCTAAATGAACACAAATATAAGCAACTCTTAATCTTTTAAAAATATTTTATTTATTTATTTGAGAGGTAGAGTTATAGAGAGTGAGAGGAAGAGCAGAAAGGTCTTGCTTCTGTTGGTTCACTCCTCAAATGGCCGCAATAGCCTGAGCTGAGCCGATACAAAGCCAGGAGCCAGGAGCTTCTTCCAGGTCTCCCATGCGGGTGCAGGGGCCCAAGCACTTGGGCCATCTTCTACTGCTTTCCCAGGCCATAGCAGAGAGCTGGACTGGAAGAGGAGCACCTGGGACTAGAACCAACGCCCATATGGGATGCTGGCGCTGCAGGCGGAGGATTAACCATCTCCACGGTGCCGGCCCCTACAACTCTTGTTCTTTTAATTTTAATTTTTATTTTTTTGACAGGCAGAGTGGACAGTGAGAGAGAGACAGAGAGAAAGGTCTTCCTTTGCTGTTGGTTCACCCTCCAATGGCCGCCGCTGCCGGCGCGCTGCAGCCGGCGCATCGCGCTGAACTGAAGCCAGGAGCCAGGTGCTTTTCCTGGTCTCCCATGGGGTGCAGGGCCCAAGCACTTGGGCCATCCTCCACTGCACTCCCGGGCCACAGCAGAGAGCTGGCCTGGAAGAGGGGCAACCAGGACAGAATCCGGCGCCCTGACCGGGACTAGAACCTGGTGTGCCAGCGCCGCAGGCAGAGGATTAGCCTATTGAGCCATGGCGCTGGCCCAACTCTTGTTCTTGACAACTGTTTCAATACCTCACAAACCTCTGAATTTTCCAATGTTACCATAAGATACCAATCTCTGCAAAACGCAGTCAAGTATAACTGAAGTACAACATAATGGCAGGCATCTGCGGCCAGTCTTCCCGTGGCTGCCCACCACGCACATACACGAATTTGGAGAGATCTCAAACTTGTATTTCCCTGTTAGAAATCTGGGAGTCACCCTTGACCTTTCTTCATTCTGCAGATCCTCCTGAAACCCAGGCAGGAAAAAATTTTGTATTTGCTATATAAACTGGTTGTTTCCACAATTTTTTTGTTTATGCTTGTGTAACCTTCAATTTTGAAGAACTATGTACTCTCGTGTATCTTAAAGCTGATATCTAATTTTCTTTTAATAAATATAAATAGTGGAAAAATTTATAATTTTCTTTCTTATAGAATGAATATGTACTTTATATTTTAAAAAATAACTTTGCAGATTTAGGTCATTCAAGTTTTGGAAAATGTATTTGCCATGGGAACTAACTGGCAAAACCAACCCTTACTGGAAAATCACTCACTCAAATCAGACTCTTAGAAAAAGTTTGCATCTTTCAGTTCAAATAAATGGTGTCAATACACACACACACACACACACACACACACACACGTATCCCTCTGTTAACCATTTCACATCTGACTTCAAATTTAAACCCGGGACTTACATTGATATGGCACCTGAATGGCAACAGGATGCTCTCCCGTGGGCAGCTCCTGCTGGCGTTCTCTTGATTCTGCTCTCACAGGGCTCTCCCTTCAGAAGGACGCCTTGCTGAATTCTTGTCAGCAGGGCCATCGTCCAAAGTGCAATTCTGGATGGGTGCAGCATACATCTTCCTTTTGAGTTCTGGGAGAAAAAGAGGCTGAAAAGTGGTGCTGCGAGGCCAGCGCTGTGGTGCAGTGGGTTAAGCTGCCGTCTGCAGTGCCAGCATCCTATATGAACTCTGGTTTGCGTCTCGGCTGCTCCACTTCTGATCCAGCTCCCTGCTAATGTGCCTGTTAGAGCAGCCGAGGACGTCCAGAGTCCTTGGGCTCCTGCATCCACCCAAATAACCCAGAGGAAGCTCCTGGCTCCTGCCTGCAGCCTGGCCCAGCCTTCTCCGTTGTGGCCATCTGAGGAGTGAAGCAGCAGATGGAAGAGTTCTCTCTCTCTCTCTCCCCCTCTCTCTCTGAAACTCTGCCTTTCAAGTAAATAAATAAATAAATCTAAAAAACAAAAAACAAAAAAAAACCTTGAACTGCAGGCTAAGTTTCAGACTGATGCAATTACTTTGCACCATCAGAATTTTGATCCACTATTTAGAGTTTTATGTGCTTCCTAATGTCATTTTCTTTTCTTGTTATTTGTTTAAAATTTATCTTATTTATTTGGTGGGGGGAGAGATATATTTTCCATCCGCTGGTTCACTCTCCAAAAGGTCACAATGGCTGGGGCTGGGTCAGGCCAAAACTAGGAGCCAGGAGTGTCGCTCCCCCATTCGTGGAGGAACGACACAGGACCCTGCGCTGTTCTTTTGTCCGCTTGGCCCTTCCCAGGTTTGCTGCTGGTTCTTCCCGGCTTGGCTGCCGACCCTTCCACCTCCGTGGATGGGCGGTTCCCCCTGCCACTTTCCCCACTTCCGTGGGTGAGTGGCACACCGCCGGCCGGCTCTCTCGGGGGCTGCTCAGATGTTATCCAGTTGTTCCTGGTGCATGTTGTCTCTCTCCTCCTTTATAGTCCTCTTCCACCAATCCCAACTCTGCTACCCACACGCTGAGCATGCTGCTCTCCTCCAATCAGGAGCAGGATCAGCTCCTGCAGCTTATCAGTCAAGTTGGCGAGAGGCAGCTGCGTAGAAGTTGTTTACTCCCTTTCAGTGCCATATTGTGGGAAAGCAGATGCATAGAATAAGTCTTAATTCCAGTAACTTAGTCTAGTCCGAGTTGCTCCCCACACAGGAGCTTCTGGGTTTCCCACATGGGTGCAGGGGCCCTAGCACTTGGACCATACTTCACTGCTTTCCCAGGCTCATTAGCAGGGAGCTGGATTGGAAGTGGAGCAGCCAGGACTTGAAACAGTGCTCATATGGATGCTGGCACTGCAGGATGCTATGCCACAGTACCAACTCCAATTGCCACTTTCTTAGTGAAGACTCCAAGCAAAGTGTTTACTATGTGTCAGACATGCTTTGCATACAATTTCATTTATTCTGAATTTGAGCCTCATTAAGTTTTCCTATCATAGCTGGGATTTTCCTTTAATAAAATCATCAGAGTTCAGGCGATGGCCTTGTGGTATCGCAGGTTAAGCCACTACCTGAGATGCCCATAGGAATGCTGGTTTGAGTCCTGGCTGCTCCACTTCTGATCCAGCTCTCTGCTAATGTGCTGGAAAAGCAGTGGAAGATGGCCCAAGTTCTTGGGCCCCAGCACCCACATGGGAGACCCGGAAGAAGCTCCTGGCTCTTGGCTTTGTTCTGACCCAGCGCTGGCTTTTGAGGCCATTTTTGGGGAATGAGCCAGCAGATGGAAATTTCTCTCTCCCTGTTGCTCCCTCTCTCTCTCTCGCTCTGTAACTCTACCTTTCAAATAAGTAAAATAAATCTTTTTAAAAAATGATCCCAGTTTGCGTTTGGGTGCTGCCTGTATCCCCCAGGAGACTACAAGTTTTCCCCTGTCTCCGTGGCTTACCTCTGCCTTCCCAGCGCCTGGCAGCCACGATGGCTGCTCAGTGAGCAGGGGAAACACCTGGGCGGAGGACTGGGCTCATCTTTTCTCTCTCAGCCCTCTGGGTTATTTCATCAGTTCCCATGGTGCGTGCTGATGACTCCCAAATTTTTATCTCTAGTTCAAAGTTCTTTTCGCTTAATCATTGGGATAATCGGAAGAGGTAACCATTATTATCCCCACTTTATAGCTGAAATACCCGGGGATAATTATATGTTCTCATGTCATCATCAAATGCAGGGTTTCACAGATGTTGCTGTAGATTCCTAAGAAAGTCCTACTGTAGCCATCATTAGATGAATGAATAAAGAAAATGTGGTGTATAAAGACAATGGAATTTAAAAAATTTTTTGATTTATTTTTTATTACCTAGAAACCTTTTATTTAAGGTACAAACTTCATGCATTTCATAGATACAAATTTAGGAGCATAGTGATTCTTCTCACCCTACCCTCCCTCTCATCCACACTCCCACCCTTCTTCCTCCTCTCTCTCCTATTTCCATACACTATGGAATAATATTCAGCTAAAAAAGAATAAAATTCTATCATTTGTAGCAAAATGGTTGGAACTGGAGGACATCGTGTTGAGTGAAATAAGCCAGAAACAGAAAGGTTCTGATGATGAGTGGGGTGGCGTGAATGGAATAAGCAGTGTCTTGCAGAATGCTGACATAAGGAAGCGTATTTTCAGGACCGGTGTTGCAGCACAGTGGAGTAAGCTGCAGTCTGCAGTGCCGGCAACCAGAGTGCTGGCTCAGCTCTGGCTGCTCTGCTTCCAGTCTGGCTTCCTGTCAATGCGCCTGGGAAGGCAGTGGAAGGTGGCTCAAGTACTTGAGCACTTGCCACCCATACTTGAGACCTGGAAGGAGTTTCAAGCTCCTGGTTTTGATCTGGCCCAGCCCTGGCTGTCATGACCATTTGGGGGGAATGAACCAATGAATGGAAGATCTCTTTGTCTCTCCGCACTTCTCTCTGTCACTTTGCCTTTCAAATAAATAAAATAAATCTTTTAAATACAGAAGAAAGCTTATTTTTGCCTTGGTGTGCTATGCCATGTACAAAATAGATTTTAAGTAACCAACATGTGACAGAAGAAACAAATCCACTTCCATGGTGATGGGATTACTGGGGGCGACCCTTCTTTTATTGCTGTCCAAATCCATTTGGGAATGAGGCTAATCCAAATGCCCAAAGAGCCCAGAAAAAGAAACGCTACAATAGATGGATAATGAAACTGTGCCCGTGTGGTGGACTAAACCCTTGAGCAGGTGAAGTCGGAGCTAAATCTCGAGGGCCAAGCAGGTCTTGGCCCAGCCAATCAGGCAAGGGGGACACTACAGGTGCCAGGTGTCCGGGAGTGATTCTCTGTGCCAAAGGACAGCATGGGGTTGTTTGGGAAGCTCAAGGACCTGCTGGACGGTCTCTCTGGGGGTTGGGCATCTGTTCGGAGGGAAAAGTGGTCGGAGATGAGGCTGGACAGGCTAGAGAAGCAGACAAAGCCTGTGAGGCCTGGATGGACCATACGGCCTCTACCCCTAGCGTCTACGCTGTGGACTTTAACAGGCCCCAGTGTCCCTCCCTCAGCTTGCAGTTCCTCTGCTTTCCCTTTGATGATTGCAAAATGATTCCTTGCTAAAGATTAACTCATTAAATGAAGGGAGTGGTGCAAAGGCAAAGCCAGAGCCAAGATCCTGAATCACAAAGACTCAGATCAGTCCTGGAGTTAACACCTCAGTGCCAGCCTCTATCCTGAGAGCTTCACAGGCCTGGACGGGGGCTGATCAGACAAAGCACTACACAGTCTAATCCTAGACCCCAGGCAGACCAGAGCCCACTTCTGCCGTTAGCAAAGAAATGGAGGGCCGTGAGCACTGGGGACAATCCAGAGGCCCGCAGACAAACTCGGCCCCCACTTTGTAGGGTTCGCCACCTTTAATCCCTCCGGGAGCCCAGGAATTGAGGCCAGCCACTTGAGTCCTCACTCTGCGCGTGGCAAATAAACTGCTACTTTCTTCTACCATTCCAGGGCCGCTAAATGCCTTGCTGCACACTGGCTGAGCAGACCCAGTTCGTTCAGGTTTTCTTTCCATCTTTCTTTCTTTCTTTGAAGAGGACAACAATACTAATTTAAAAAATTGTATTTACTTAGAAGCATTCAGAATTTTTTTTTTGCAGTTACAGAGTGGTATTCAGTTAACAGAACAATAATTGCTTTGCATAAACTGCATCAGAGACAACTAAAGATAAAAAAAAAAAAAAAACCCAAACTACTGTCCCCATATAGAACTAATTTGTGCTGTGCACCAAGAACCTGCTTTAAATTTCCAAGCCAGGGGCTGACCCTGTGGCATAGAGGGTAAGGCCATCTGGGTGCCACTTCGAGTCCGAGCTGCTCCACTTCCGATCCAGCTCTCTGCCGTGGCCTGGGAAAGCAGTAGAGAATGGCCCAAGTCCTTGGGCCCCTGCACCCACATGGGAGACTGGAAAGAAGTTCCTGGCTCCTGGCTTTGGATCAGCACAGCACCGGCCATTGCGGCCATGTGAGGAGTGAAGCAGCAGATAGAAGACCTCCTCTCTCTGCCTCTGGCTCTCTGTAACTCTGCCTTTCAAATAAATACATAAATCTAAAATAAATTTCCAAGCCATTTTTTAAAGAAGATTTTTTATTTGAAAGGCAGAGTTACAGCCATAGCGCCAGCCCCTCCAAGCCAATTTACAACCCCCATACTATACCAGATAAGGTCAGTGCCATTGAAAATATCAGTAGGACAGGGCTGTCTAAAGACACATTCAGCAGCGTGCTATCGGTACAAAAAAAGACTCTGTACAGGTTTTTAAAAAAATCTACCACAGCCTTACATTTAAATTGTTTTCTTTAAAGGGAGTGAGTTGTATACAGGAGGGTTAAATGCTTTATAGACAAGAAAAAAACTGTTCTAGAACCAACTCATTCATCATCATCATCATCATCATTCCCCTCCTCCTCATCTTCTTCATCTCCCTCCACTTCCTCCAACTTCTTGAGCAGACCCGGTTTTGGGGCTCTATAGCAATTCTCCCTACCAGCTCTGGGGGTGTTTTCTAACCCGCCCGCACAGATGTGCTGGGGGATTACTCTGGAGGCAGTGGGAGCCCTGGAAGACGGTTGGCAGAGGCGCCCGGCGTTGAGTTGTGCACTGTAAATGATCCCAGTAGAGGCTGTGAGGGAATCGCATTGCTAGCAGGAAACACTGAGCACTCTGGGTGGCAGGTGAAAGCGAAGGGGTTTGGTAATGGATGAGAGAGAGGACTCAGGATGTCATCCAGGTTCCTTGGGTGGTCCTCTGTAGTGTGGGAAAAGGAGGAGCAGTCTTGCAGCAGAGGGGAGGAAAGTGTGTTGTTTTAGACTGTTGAATTGGAGGCACCTGCAAAAAAAAAAATGATAGAAACATTTTAAAGACCTTTAAGGACCTGGAAGTGTTCCTTGATTTTGGACACAGGACATATTAGAGACTCAGCAAGAGCTGTTGAGGCAGGGATGTGCGTCTGCAGGCCAGACCAGAGAGGCTGGAGGGAGGAGGGAGAGGTAAGCCGATGCAGACAGCAGGAAGAGACCTCTTAGAGACCCCACTGCGGAGCACAGAACCTCAGCTGGAGGGCATCGCTTTTCAAAGAGAGGCTCCTTATTTATTCTTTTGCACTTTTAAGATATTATTTATTTATTTACTTGAGAGGCAGAGTTACAGACAGAGGGAGAGACAGAGAGAAAGGTCTTCCATTCACTGGTTCACTCCCCCAAAATGGCCACTGGAGCTGGAGCTGGGCCAATCTGGAGCCAGGAGCCAGAAGCTTCTTCCAGGTCTCCCACGCTGGTGTAAGGGCCAAGCTTTCCCAGGCCATAGCAGAGAGCTGGATCAGAAGAGGAGCAGACAGGACATGAACTGCTGCCCATATGGGATGCCAGCACTGCAGGCAGAGGCTTAGCCTACTATGCCACAGCACCAACCCCAGTATTTTGTTTTTTAAATAAAGAGAACTGAGGGTACAAGGAGAAATTTCACATTGATCCCAGGGTACACATGATCCTCTCCTAATTTTAATATCAAAGTAGCAACTGTCCTTGCTAAGAAAATCCAAACAACTGGAACAAAGGATCTGGTAGTCTCCAAACACAAAGAAAAGAGAAGGAACCGGAAAGGCTGTTTGCCTGCCATGGTTGGTTTAAGCTAAGTGTTCACATTGAAATGTTGCATTGTACTGCTTAAGAATGTGCAAGTTTACATGTCAATGCCAAATGCAAAAATAAATAGAAAAAAGAGAAATATCCAAACAATATAGAAGTCATAAAATTACTGCTTTTGAGCAGACTCCTGAGCTATGAGGCCTGGAACCCACAATTAAGCATTTTCTATGTCTGGCCCCTGCCTGCCTCCATATGTTCCAACCTCTTTCACACAAAACAACAGTAGTGACAGCAGAAACCTTCACCTCCTATCTCTCCTCCATTGCTACCCTCTCTCTTTCTATCACAAGGTTCTCAAAAAACCAGCACACATTTAAAAATCTCACTGTGTTCTGACCCCACGGCTGCTGAGTTGGCATTCACAATGGCCAATGCCAGTGGATATTGGTGAGGCCTCATCTGTACAGTACAGTACAGCCTGTACCTGTTCTCTTGGTTTCCACACCAACTCATCTGAGTTTAATTCCGCCACCTCCGGAGCTTTGCTTCTTTGTGTAATCGTCTACTTTCTCATTAAATCTTGGACATCCATCCTTTGCCTTCTCTTCCCACATGGCAGCCTTAAATACTCTTTTTTTTTTAAATTTTTATTTATTTTTTTGACAGGCAGAGTGGACAGTGAGAGAGACAGACAGAGAGAAAGGTCTTCCTTTTAGCCATTGGTTCACCCTCCAATGGCAGCCGCGGCCGGCGTGCTGTGGCTGGCGCACTGCGCTGATCCGATGGCAGGAGCCAGGTACTTATCCTGGTCTCCCATGCGGGTGCAGGGCCCAAGCACTTGGGCCATCCTCCACTGCACTCCTGGGCCACAGCAGAGAGCTGGC